CACACACATACACACACCCACACGCTCCCCTTGCTAAGCTTTAAGCTCCTCAAGAGAAGGTTTGTTTCTCCAACTTTTTTCGTGTTCAGCTAAAAGGTACAGCATAAATAAGAGACCTTTATTCCTCATTGCCTACATTTGTCTGGCTTGATATCTGTTAGTTGTTTTTTTTTTTTTTATTTTTAATTATGAACTAAACAATCACCAAACATTCCAATATACAAATAACAATGTCAAAGCTATAAGAATAAGAGTCATTCCCCAATTGATAAATGGTCAAAGAATATGAACAGGCAGTTTTCCGATGAAGAAATCAAAACAATTTGTAGTCATATGAAAAAATGCTCTAAATCATTATTGATTAGAGAAATGCAAATTAAAGCAAACTTGAGGTATCATCTTACACCTATCAGATTGGCTAAAATGATTGAAAGGGAAAGCGACAAATGTTGGAGGGGATGTGGAAAAATTGGGACACTAATTCACTGTTGGTGGAATTGTGAACTGACCCAGCCATTTTGGAGAGCAATCTGGAATTATGCCCAAAGAGTTATGAAATTGTGATACCACTACTAGGTCTATTTCCCAAGATGATCAAGGGAAAAGGAAAAGAACTTATATATTCTCAAATATGTATAGCAGCTCTCTTTCTGGTGGCAAACAGCTGGAAATTGTAGGGATGCCCATCAGTTAGGGAATGGCTGAATAGGTTGTGGTATGATTGTGATGGAATACTACTGTGCTATAAGAAATGACGAGCTCAGTGATCCTAGAAAAACACTGATAGACTTGCACAAAATAATGAAGAGCAAAATGAACAGAACCAAGAGAACATTGTATACAATAACAACATTATTGTTTTAAGAACAACTTTGATTTTGACTATTATAAATATCCAAATTAATGGGCAGCTAGGTGACACAGTGGATAGAGCACCAGCCCTGGAGTCAGGAGGACCTGAGTTCAAATCTGGCCTCAGACACTTGACACTTACTAGCTGTGTGACCCTAGGCAAGTCACTTAACCCCATTGTCTAGCCAAAAAGAAAAAATATCCAAATTAACTACAAAGGACATATGAAGAAAAACACTATCTGCCTCCAGAGAAAGAATTGATAAATAGAAGTATGTATGGAATGGTTTTATACACACGTATACACACACACACACACACACACACACACATATTTGTGTCTAATAGTAGCCAGCTCTAGAGTAGGGAAGGGGGATGAAAGAAAAAAAAATTACATGATACCTTTATTATGTATTTAAAAGGAATAGCAAGTTGTACACGATAGATTTGCAGTTTAATGTACAGTCATCTTTTTTTCTATTCTACTATGTTATGGAAATGCTTGTTTTATTTCTTAAGTTCAGAATAAAATATAATTTAAAACAATAAATAACAATGGAAAAGATTGTTATATGAAACCATGAACTTCTGTTAGGTAGTTTAGCTTTTTTAAGTATGTATTAAATTTAACAACATAGTGACACAATCACTCCATTTGTGTCCCCTTCTTCATTTCCTTTTTGTTTCAATTCAGGAGTTCTTCACCTGGGATCCATGAACTTTTTTTGTAACTATATTATAATCTGATTGTTTTCCTATATTTTATGTATTTCATAACTACATTATAATATGATTCTTTTCCTTTGTAATTCTATGTACTTTATTTTATGCATTTAAAAAGTCTGAGAAGCGATCCATAGGTGTCACCAAACTGTCAAAGGGGTCCACGATGCAAAAAGGTTAAGAACCTCTAGTTTAACTGATGTCTTTTCTGTCTGTCTTTTTTTCTGTCTTGCTTTTCCATCACTGCCTAGTAACTAAGCACATAGAAACGCTCCTTGTAGCAGAGTCAGGCAAAGCCAGGCAGCACACTAGCTGGGCCTTCAAGTATTGTTCCGCTCATCTAAGCCACAGCCTCTTCCTCTCCAGTCTTCTGAAGCCACACTTGGCCACTACGTCTTTCAGAGAGGCTTTTCCTGTATGTTATTGTGGTCATCCTGAAAACTGTTCTCCTTTTATCAAATGTCTTTTGCTCAACTGTTTTTCTTTGTTATAAGAGAAGGTTAAATTCAGAAGTTCTGAAGTGCAGAAGCATTGTTTATCCAAAAATGACCATGATGCAAAACAAAAATCAATACAATTTTGTTAAAAACTTCATTCCTGTGAATTTTATTTAAAACAAGCTAACTAGTCATTGTTGAGTTGCTGTGGGAGGGAATTCCCTTTTGTGCCGAGCACTTGTCTTTGCTGAGTGGGCCTCTCCTCTTCTGTTCCAGTCCGTCAACAAGCCTTTATTTAGCACTTACTGTGTCCAGAGCACTGGGCAAGGCACTGGTCTCTTACCTTCTGGCTCTTATTTTTGTCTGAGGACTTTTATAAAATGTATACATGGTATTAAGGAAACAGTATGGAGCCCTGCTGTGTCATGTCCTTTCCTTGAAGCTTTGTTTCTTCTGGTTTTTCTGAAGAGAACCTAGGGACAAGAATGGGCCTTTCCCTCTGTGCCTGAACTTTATCTTTTTGTTCTCCCAAGTGGCTAAAGCCACAAGGGTCTTTTCTGATACTGTCATGAACTTCTTATGCCTTGAATTTTAAATCCTACAGTGGTTCCCCTCTCACCCAAAGCCCACTTCTGATTCCTGTGCCCTTTTCTCCTTCCTCCTGGTTGGCAGTCTGACAGTGGTGGATTCCTTTGGAGCCAGCAGTTCAGCCACCGCCAGCCTGACTGTGAACAAGGCAGTGGATTACCCTCCTGTGGCCAATGCAGGCCCCAACCAAGTGATTACACTTCCTCAGAACTCCATCACTCTGTATGGGAATCAGAGCACCGATGACCATGGCATTGCCAGCTATGAGTGGTCTCTCAGCCCAAGCAGCAAAGGGAAGGTTGTGGACATGCAGGTAGGAGTGGCCACAACCTACCCAGGGAGCATTTCCAAGAACTGTTCAATTATATTTACCAGTGTTCATTTAAAAGTCATATTTGTGTACAGAAACATATTCCTCCCCTCCTTTTTTTAAACAACCCTCTGAGAGGTTGTGGTGTCTTTTAATTGCATGTGAATATAAATTTATAATCAGAAGATAATCAAGTTTGAAAGAGAAAAGTAAGAGAAGAGTCCTCACTAAGCTGAAAGTATCTCCTACCTCATCAAATTTTCCTTGATCACTTGGCTGGTCTCCTTTGCCCTTTTCATCTTATGTATTTTACTTATGTAAATGTGTCATGTCCTATCTCCTCCCCCATCCTGCCCCGACTATAAGCTCCTTAAGGACAGAACCTGAGTTATTTTCTTCTTTGTTTCCATAGCGCCAAGCAAAGGACCTAGCACATTGAGAATAAGTCTGCTCTTTCTTGTAAGTGAATGGTGATTTTTAAAGAGTATCCACCTAGAAGGGAGAGAGCAGACTTATTCTCTCTGTTTCCAGAGGTTAGAGCTAGAGAAGGGAGTAGGTAAAAATTACAAGGAAGCATGTTTTGGCTCAGTATGAGAAAAAGCATTCCAACATAGAGATGCCCAACAAGGGAGCAAGCTTCTTACTGAAATAGCAGTGATCTTCTTGTCACTGGAAGTTACCATCATAGATGGTAGAGAAGACACACACATAGTAGGAAGCAGAAGGCCAGACAAAGTAGCCTACCAGGTCCCTTCCAACTGTAAGATTCGGTCGGGGGTTTGTGAAGGCTCAGGGAAGGTTGGTGAAGAGAACACAGGGACATTAACCTCACCAGCTAGCTCAGGTGATTTAGCACTGTTTTTCTGTGGTTGCCAATCCTGAACAAATCCATAAAGTGATGATAAAGTACACATACGGAATTGGGAAGTGTTGTTGGTGTTTTGTTCTAAAAGCTTTGTTAGGAGCATGATCAGTCTGTCCTCAGTGAAAGGGGAGGGCTTTTATAAAAAGCATATTTTTATGTTTACCTTCATATTTGTGGTGGTCTTTCTGATTTGAATATTTGCCTTCTTTATATATTTCCTCAAACCCCTTATTGTAACTGAGCTCTTCCTCTGCCTCAGGAAAGTTGAGACTTTATTCAAAGCTATGTTGGTATTGAAGAAGTCAGGAACTCTACTTATGGATAGGAAGTTTGGGGCCAGATGATCCCCAAATGTTTGAGTTTACTGTTTATAATTTAATTAGTAGGCATAGCCTTGATAATAGATAAAGTCTAGGAAATTGGATAAGTGATTTCCATCAGAGTAGGAATTGTTGTCTTATGTTATAGTTGGAGATCCCACTTTTCCATGTGTTTATATTTATACAAAGGGTGTGAGAACCCCAGCCCTGCAACTTTCTGCAATGCAGGAAGGAGACTACACCTATCAGCTCACAGTGACTGATACAGCAGGACACCAGGCCACCACAGAGGTCATTGTCATTGTCCAGCCAGGTAAGTGATGATTTCATATCCGGACTCTTCCTCTTACCTGTTGTTTAGAGAGCAGTTCTGTATAGCCTATTCCCACTTCTAAAAAAAGGTTGGCATTGATAGTGGAGTTGGTAGTGCCCCTTTTATGAACAAAGGAGAGGGCATGTGCATTTGTGAGTGGAGGGTTGTTGGGAGAGGGTAAGTTGTTGGTTTCTGGACCTAGTTCCTTCATCATAGGAGAAAGTGTTTCTCCCTCAAACCCATTCGGAGAGATTTGGGTTGCATGAGGACTGAGGACAAGTTGGTCCATAGAAACCTTGGGTCCTAGACTCATCCCTCTCCTTGCTCCCCCATATCCAACTTGTCACCAAGTCTTCGTGGTTTTGTCCTTCCCAGCATCTCCAGCATTCACAGCTGTCATAGTCATTGTAGCTGATGTTTATACAAGGCTTCATCACAAAGAGCTTTAAAGACACAACAGCACTTTAAAAAGTGACTGGTTGTTGATCCTCCCAACAACCTTGTGAGGCACATGGTATGAACATTATTATGTTTTACAGACTTATTTTAAGAGTATTCAATTAGTCACTGGCAAAGCCAGGAATAAAGCCAGGTCTTCTGGCTTCAGAGGGAGGCAGTGTGGTACAGTGGAAAGAGCACTGACCCTTTAGCTAAGAACTTGAGTTCAAATCCCACCTCTCATGCATATAACCTCTGGGACTTGGAAGAAAATCATTTAACTTCCCTGGGCTCTGGTTTCCTCATCTGTAAAACAAGGGTTTTGGACTACAGTGGTATCCAAAGTAACTGAGAAAAAATAAGAAAAATTAAATTTGCTGACTATATTATACAATAAACCTTACATCTTTCTTTATCTTTAAAAAACCTTTTTTAATATGCAACGTACCTTCTTGCTATAGTCGATTCTTCTACACAGTTTGGCACTGAGTTCACAAGATTTCAACACATTCTTTAATTTTCCTAGAGTGCATATTTATTATATTGGATATTAATGAATGAATAAAGCATTTACTAAGTGTTTGCTGTGTGCTGAACCCTGGGGATACAGATAGTAAAGTCAGATAGTCCCTTTTCTCCAGGAGCTCATATTCTGATGGGGAAGAGAACTCATATGAGAGGTTTCAGCTGCAAGTCAGGCAGAAAAGTCCAATGGTCCTTAGGGTGCAGTGGCAAAGCAGATGGTCGTGCTTCTTCTTCCATGTCATTTCCACTGATAACCATATTGGTTCTTGATGTTGGACAGTGCCAAGGACTTTGGTGACAAGAACTCTTTTTTCTGGGTCTTCAGTAGCTTTGACCGCAGCCGCTGCAGGAGCCATTGCCAGGCTGCATCTGCTCAGGAATAGTCTCCCAGGATGATGACTGAGGGCACTGGATGGAAAACCCTTCCCTTCCCAGGGCTCTTGGATTAAAGGTCCTGGGCTGTCTCCACTAGGGTATGAGGGGAGATGGTGGTGGTGGCCTGACCAGCCTGGCACATGCTGCCTCCTGTCTCTCTCCCAACTTGCCTTACTGCTGCACCTCGACTGGCTTGCTGGCCCTGTGAGGTAGCAACTCGTTGGCAGGTGGTGGGGAAGGCTGACCTTTTCTCCCAGGAGAGCTGGTTCAAAAGCAAGACCACTAGTCTGGAGATGCTGCCGTTTCCAGAGCTCCTGTGCTTATCTGCCTATTGGCGACAGTTCACTAGCATTTGTTCCAGGTAGTGATGAGAAAAGTGACCCCCTTCTTCACTATGATTTCTCATTATAATTATTATTGTGTGCCCTTAATGAACAGTCTGTTTTTCCAATCTAGCCTTGTTTATAGTTCATAGGTTTTCAATAGGGTTTATATGAGGTGAGTGCCAAGCCATTGAAGCGTGTTTATTTCTATCTCTTGGATAAAGTTCTTAATCTTTCTTGATGTGTGGCATAGTTTGCCTTGTCATCTTCTTTTAGAAATTTCTATAACAACTGTGCTTTTCAGTATATCATCATTTTTATCAGAGTTCATCAATCCTTCAGTGGGTGTAAGACTTCTCCTTGCCAAGGCAAACTCATCTGCACGGACATTTCATCTTCTCCAGCAGATTGCTCACTCTTATCATCCCTATTCTCTCACTAATCTTCAGTCTCTCCCTGTCTATTTCCCTATTGCCTGCAAACATGCCCATGGCTCCTCCATCCTCAAAAAACCCTTACTTGATCCTTCCATCCCTGTTAATTATCATCCCATATCCCTCCCCCCCTTTTATGGCTAAACTCCTCGAGAATGCTATCTGCCATCATTGCTTTCACTTTCTTTCCTCACACTCTCTTCTTAACTCTCTAAAGACTGGCTTCCAGCTTTACCATTCAATTAAAACTGTACTCTCTAAAGTTACCAGTGATTTCTTAATTGCCAAATCTAAAGTTACCAGTGATTTCTTAATTGCCAAATCTAATAGCTTTTTCTCAATCCTCATTTTTCTTGACCTCTCTGCAGCTTTTGACACTGTCAGTCATTTTCTCCTTGATATTCTCATCACTCTAGGTTTTTGCGACACCAGTCCCTCCAAGTTTTCCTCCTAGCCATCTGGTTATTCCTCAGTCTCCTTTGCTGGATCTTCAACCAGGTCATACCTGTTAACTGTGCATGTCCCCCAAGACTCTGTCTTCTCTTCTCTCTCTTTACTGTTTCACTTGGTGATCTGATCAGCTCCCATAGATTCAATTATCATTTCTATGCTGATGGCTCTCAAATCTGTCTGTTCAGCCTGAACCTCTCTTCCAGCCTCTAGACTCATATCTCCAACTGCCTATTGGATATTTCAAACTGGTTGTCCTGTAGACATTTTAAACTCAACATGTCCAAAACTGAACTTTTAATTTTTTCCCGAAATCCTTCCCGCATGCCTAACTTTCCTGTTACTGTTAGGATACCACTGTCATCCTAGTCACCTAGACTTGCGACCTGTGTGTCATCCTTACCTTCACTCTTGAGTCTCCAGTTGTCTTTTAGACATCTCAAACTGTATGTCCCACATATATCTTAAATTCAGCATGTCCAGTCCTGAATTTCCTTTTTCCCCAGGCCTTCCCTGCCTTCCTAACTTTGCTCATACTGTCTAGGGCACTACCATCCTTCTGGTCACCAAAGCTCATAACCTAGGTGCCATCCTTGACTCTTCATTCTCACTTCCCTCCTCCCATCATATCCATTATGTTGTCAAGGCCTGTTGATTCTACCTTTGCAACATCCTTTGTACATGCCCACCTTTCTTCTCTGACATTACCACTACCTGGTGCAGGCCCTCATCACTTTATGCCTAGATTATTGCCTGCTGATTTGTCTCCCTGCCTCAAGTCTCTGTCTACTCTAGTTCATTCTCCTCTCAACTGTTAGATTGTATTCCTAAAGCCCATGTTCTCCCTTACCTCTTCTCTCATCCCCATTCAATGAACTCCAATGGCTTCTTATTGCCTCCAGGATCAAATAAGAAACTCTCTTGTTTGTTGTTCAAAGTCCTTCAAAACCTGGCCCCTCCTACCTTTCTAATCATCTAATACCTTGCTCCCACCCACGTACTCTGTGATCCAGTGATATTGGCTTCCTAGCTATTTCACAAACAACACCATGCCATCTCTTGGCTTTAGGCATTTTTTTCTGGCTGTCCTCCATGTCTGTAATGTTCTACCTCATTTCCATCTACTGACCTCCCTGGCTTCCTTTGAATTCCAGCTAAAATCCCACTTTCTACAGGAACCCTTTCCAGATCTATCTTATTTCGAGTGTCTTCCCTCTGAATATCTCCAGTTTATCCTGTCTCTATCTTATTTGTACATGGTTTGCATATGGTCTCCATTAGACTGTGAGCTTCTTGAGGCTGAGAACTTTTTTTTCCCTTTCTTTGTCTTTGTATCACCAGCACTTAGCCCAGTGCCTAGCAATTTCTTAATAAATACACATTGACTTAGTACTGCAAGTAAAAAGTCTTCCAAATATTCTTTTTGGGTGGATGTCTTACATTTTGAAGAAGATGCCAGGATCTCACAGGTTTACTTTGACTTCCTTTAAAATTTTATTTTTATTCTGAACTTAAATACCAATACATAGAACAGAAAAATAATTGGATATCTCTGTTATAAACAGCTTGCTTTTATTTTTTAAGTATATAATAAGATCAAAAGCCTGTAGCTTTCAAAGCTGTCCTGCTTTTTTGTACCTTCTCTTAACTTCTGTTCTTTTCTGGTCTTCTTTCTCTTCTCTTCTTTGCATTTTTTAGAGGTGATTTTTTTTGAAGAAAGAGCTGCCCTTTCCTCCCCCATCCTCCCATTCTACCCATTGGGGAAAAAAGGAAGTACAAAGCCTTTGTAAAAAAAAAACCAAAACATGAGTGTGTGTGTGTGTGTAGTCCAGCAAAACAAATTTCCACTTTGGTTATATCCAACCAAATATATTTGTCTTGTTCTGCATCTCTCTATAAAGAGGACAGTTTGCTTCATCATTCCTCTAGGGAAGACTTAGAGGCAGCTAGATGGTGTAGTGAGTAGAACATTGGGTTTGGAGTTAGGAAGATCTGAGTTCAAATTCAGCCTTAGATGGTAACTTAACTCTATGACCAAGTTATTTAACCTCTGTTTTTCTTGTTTTTCTCAACTATAAAATGGGGATGATAATAGCACCTACCTCCCAGGGTTGTTGTGAGAATCAAATTTGTAAAACACTTAGCACAGTGCATGGCACAAAGTAGGTGCTTAATAAATGTTTATTTCCTTCCTTCCTCTGGAATCATGATTGGTCATTGATCCAGAGTTCCTAAGTCTTTCAAAGTGTTTTTGTTTATTTTTACAATATCGTTATGATTGTATACCTTGTTCTCATCGTACTCACTTCACTCTGCATCAGCTCATATGGGTCTTCCCAAGTTTCTCTGAAACTATTCATTTCATCATTTCTTCTAACACAGTAATATCCCATTGCATTCATATACCATAACTCGTTTAGCCATTACCCAGTAGATAGGCACTCCCTTGGGTTCTAGTTCTTTGCTTGTACAAAAAGAGCTGCTATAAATAATATTGTACATGTAGTTCCTTTTTCCTCTTTCTTTGATCTCCTTGGGGTTTATGCCTAGTAAATATAGCTGAGTCAAAGCATAGTGCTTTGTACATTTCAGTCGTTTTTCAGTCATGCCCGACTCTTCATGACCCCTTTTGGGGTTTTCTTGGCAGAGCTACTGAAGTGGTTTGCCATTTCCTTTTCCAGCTCATTTTATAGATGAGGAAACTAAGGCAAACAGGGTTAAGTGACTCATCCAGGGTCACACAGCTAGTAAGTGTCTGAGGCCAGATTTGAACTCAGGAAGATAAGTCTTCCTGACTCCAGGCCTGGTGCTTTATCAAAACTCTGTGCCACCTAGCTGCCCATAGTACATAATAAGCACTTAATAAATGCTTCATTCATTAGTTCAAACGGTATGCACAATTTAATGACTTTAGGGTTATAATTCCAAATTGCTTTCCAGAGTAGCTATACTAATTCACAGCTATGTCAACAGTACCTTAATGGGCTTTTTTTTTTCTTACAGCCCTTCCAACAATCTTTATTTTCCTTTTTTTTGTCAACTTTGCCAATCTAAAACTCGTGAAGACTTCTGACAACAGTTTTGTTTTATCCTTTAATTAAAAAAAAATTACCTTTGTCAATAAAAATTACTTTTTTCCATTCTAATTATTCTAATTATTTTATTGTTTTGCACATGACATACATTTTTCTCTTCATAGAAATTTCAACTCTTTATAATGGTCTTTCAGCCTATATCACACTGTAGAAAGAGAAGTAGCAACACCTCAAGTTACTAGCTTCCTCTGGAAGTCTTTGTTTTCTGAGTACTAATAAGACTTTTGCAGCAATATTTTCAGTTCTTGGCATTGTTTTTCATTTTTGACTATACTTTGTTTTATGCTTTTATTCAACTGGTGCTGTTTTGGTGTGTGCTTGAATGATCCTTGAGGTGCTTGACTTCCCCAGATCAGCAGCCAATAATACAATATCACCAATAGTCATTTAAGTATGCTCTTTAAGAGCTAACAATTTTGCATGTTTCCTTGGAATGATATCCATTATTGAAAATACAACAAAAGAGAGCAATGAAACACATATGGAACCATATTTATCACTCAACTGACAGAGAGCTAAAATTAGAAAAATCATCCCAAGCCCATTTCATCTATCTGGTCAAAACAAGGTGTTCTGAGTCAACCTCATGTTAGCATACAGGAAGGTGACTATATCAAAATTGTTAAGTAATTCATACCCCACTATAGATAATTGAGCCATGGCTCCAGCTCTAGATTTATGATTTTATGAAACCTACTGTTTCTCTCTACTAAACCACAGCTGCCTCCTAGCTCCTAGACCTTCATTACTTTACTCCTAAAATACTACAGTAGCCCCTTAGGTGACTTCCCTTTTTTCAGGCTTCTCCTGGTTCAGTCTGTCCTGCATGGCATTACTAGATTGACCTTTTTAAAATATATTCTTTTCCTACAGGCCAGGATCTTAATGCTGAAAGTTAATTTAGAGATCCTCTACTATAGTTTCCTCATTTTGCAAATGAGGAAAATGAGGCCCCAGAGAGATTAAATAATTTGCTCATGGTTATGCAGCATAGTTAGTGGGTCTGTTGAGACTAAAACCCAGGTCTCTTAACTCCCATGCTCTATCACTTCTCAGCTCAAAATCTTTCAATACTTCCTTATTTCAGAAATAAATTCCTGCTCAGCTTTTTAAGGCATTCCAGTGTCTGACCTAACCCCATCTGTTCTTGGCTGGGCCTAACTTGGGCAAGTCCCTTGGTAGTTTAGGTTCAGTACTGGAATAAAATGAGACATTTGTAAGTCACTCAACAGTTAACAAAAGGAAATTTACTTAGTCGTAATAGAAAGGATACTCAGCAAAGACAGGCATTGAGGACATCTTGAGTTGATGAGCAATCCACTAGCCAAACATCTGAGAGCCACCCCCTCCAGCTATTAGTCTTCTGAGCCTACCTAGTCCTGAAGAGGGTCTCTATACCTTCTAAGGAAAAACTACCCCAACTTGCTTAGAGGGAGCAGTTAAGATATCACTCCTACCACACCATCTCTCATCTTATTTTCCATTTCTCCTCATTTTACATCCTTTGCTCAGGTTGGTTGCTTCATTGTCCCATAAACATGTCAAGTTCATGTCTTCCTCTTTACCTTCACTCACGTGAAGTGTCTAACCTCTAACCTGAAATGTCCTTCAAGGCCAAATCCTAACCATCCTTCAATGTCTAATGTGAATCCTGCCTATTCCATAAAGCCCTCCCTGAGCTCTCAATGACCTCCCTTTCTGAATTCCTTTAGTGCCATACCAAACAGTCACTTAATTATGTACTGTCCTGTTCCTTGTTATTGTGCGTCCTGATCTAGATTGTAAGATCCTTGAGGGTAGGAACTATGTTTTCTCTATCCCCACAACACTTAATGGTGCTCAACTCTTGCTAGGCACTATTAAATTGCATGGTTAATTGGTCTTAGAGAATCAGAGGCAAGGGGAGGGGAGGGGAGGGTCCTGGGCTTTCTGATCAGAGTGAGCACAACATAAGTCCCATTTACATCTCCTACAATCTAAGCTGGCCTGCTGTTGACATTGTAGCCTCTCTTCCAGAGAACAACAAGCCACCCCAGGCAGATGCTGGCCCAGATAAAGAACTGACCCTTCCTGTTGACAGCACAACTCTGGACGGTAGCAAAAGCCTGGACGACCAGAAAATCATCTCATACCTCTGGGAAAAAACACAGTGGGTATTGGCCCCAACATCCTTTAGCAGAGTTTTACTTACTGATGAGTGACTTTGAAAGATGATGTAATTCTAGACTCCAGTTTTAAGAAATTGGTGTTCTGACTTCTGCAGGGGAAAAATAAAAACCACCTCTTGCCAGCTTCTGCTCCCTATGTGGTACTGACTGGCCCTGGCATCATTGCAGATACAGCCCCATCTGCTGTAAAGTAGAGTTAAATTACACTTGAGAGGCAATAGGAAAGGAGTAATGGAGCTGAAAAGTCCTGTTTCCCAGAGTCAGCCGGGTGAGGCTGAGGGGGAAGGGCAGCAGTTTGACACCTGCTATTAAGGAGAATTGATGCAACATCTGCAAAATGAAAGCCTTGTTCTCAGTTATTGTTGTCTTAAAGACACCATTTACCACTTATGTTAGCCAGAGGCAAAGGGCACTGATCAAAAAAAGGCTAATTAAACTGGAATTGTTTAATCAGAACCATTCCTGGCCTTCACCATTCGTTTTAACTATTAAACCACAACAAACAGAACTCAGATTATATGCAGGGTCTGTGTGTGTGTGTGTGTGTGTTTTAAAAACTCCACCAAAAGCAAAGAAATTCCAGAAGAGAGACAGCTATACATTTTAACTCTTGCTAATCTTTCAGGAGCAGCAGCACACAAGGTTTTTTGTTTGTTTTTTGAGGGGGCAAGGTTATAGCTGAAATTTTAAATTCAGAAGTTTCTTCCCTTTTTAGGTTTAAACTTGGATTTTAGAAGTTAAGTGAAAAGTTTCTTCCCTTCCTTCATCATTCAGTCTTTCTCTCTTCTCCCCCCTCTCCTTCTCTTTCTCTCCCTCTTTCTCTCTTTCTCTCTCTCTTGTCTCTCTCCTCTCCCTTCTTCCCTTTCTTCCCCTCTCTCCCTTTTCTTCCTTCCCCTCTCTCCTCCCTTTTCTTTCTTTCCCTCCCCTTCCCTCCTCTTCTTTCCATTCTCTTTTCCTTTCCTCCCCTTTTCTTCCCTTTGTGTTCTGCCTCTTTGTTTGCCTACTGTTCCTTCATTTATTGTATTTTAACTTTGTTGAAGATGATATTTTAGAAATCCTTGTTTTTGGCCTCTATTGGTATTCTCCAAGGAGGTGGTAGTATCACAGAGGAGAATCTGGCCAGGAGGGGAGCCACCTTGGTCAGAATTACCTCCTTTCAAAAAGCAACAGAAAATTTCAGAGGAGTTGTATTAGGTAGGTGATGTCATCTTTATCTCCCTATACCGTAACTCCTTAGTGATGAGCTCATCAACACCACAAGATAGGCACCAGGAAGCTTTGTGTTGGAATGTCATAGTGCTCCCCCTCACCCCTTTCCTATGGTGTATACTTTCCTCCCTAACCATGGGCTGGTTTCTGGGGCACAGGAAAAGTGAAATAGCTTCTTTATGGGGAAAAACAAAAAACAACAATGACAAAAAAAAAAAAAACCAGGAACTGAATAAGGAACCCATCATAGGATGTGACCTTGTGCCCAGGGCAGGAGAGAGGTTATGCTTACCGAATTGCAGAGAATGGTAGCGAATTTGATTGCTGGGAACTCATGTGCCAACTTGGCTCTGGGTGTTTTCTTAAATTTCCAATAGGAGTGATTTTGGCATAAGGTTAAAAAATAAAATTTTCATCTTTGCTGGCAGGAGCTATGCCAGCAAACATACTGGGCCAGAAATGCTTTTCAGAAACATATATCCTCATCTCACACTGTCTTTTGACCAGATACTACCTTAGACCTCTCAGAGACTTTTATGAGCTGGAAAAATCAAAGCTTTAAATTTTTTTTTAAAGTTCTTGAATATTAAGAGGAAGTTTAGAAGTGTTGAAAGTCTGGTGCCTGGGATTTTCTGATCAGCAGGTAGCTTGTTTTTGGAAGCCAAATGTAATTTTATTGAAATGGAATATTTTAAATGTTTCTTCTGAGGGTTTGAAAATAAGTTCCCTTTTTAACTAAGGAACAAATATGTAGGAGGCAACCCTTGACTGCAATGGTCATGGGACTGAAAGGCTGCCTAAATCATTTTCCTGAATATCAGCAGACAGGTAGAGACCAATCCTTTGCTTTTATTCCTTTCACTAGGGGCCCTGATGGTGTGCGACTTGAAAATGCCAACAATTCCATAGCAACTGTGACTGGCCTCCAGGTGGGAACCTATATATTCACCCTGACTGTCAAAGATGAAAGGAACCTGCAGAGCCAAAGCTCCGTCAGTGTCATAGTCAAAGAAGGTATCTTGTCTTGGGGAGGACTGAGTGAAGTGTGACTGACCTACTTTGGGATTGCATTACATTCATTTGGGGAGAAATCTGTCTTATTTATTGGACTGGATTTCATTTGCATTTCACAGTGATTAGAAGCAGCAGAGGAACTGTTATTTGTTATCTAAATTGACTTATGTGTGTGTGAAAGAGAGAGAGAGAGGTGAGGGGAGAGGGAGGGAAAGACAGAAGCAAAAGGGGGAAGGGAGAGAGACAAGCAGAGACAGGGGAGGGAGAGAGATGAGAAAAAAAGAAACATAGGAAGGGGGGTGGTAGAAAGAGGAAGAGAAAAAACTAAAGGTAAAGACTTTTCCTTTTTCTGAGGGGGAGACACTGGGGGAGGGGGTCAGTGCAGTGCAGTCTTACTTTGCTTTGGTGCCTCACAAACAAGGGGGTGATCTGACTCTCCTACTGACTGCAGTGACATCTGCCATCAGACTTCATAGTGGTTGCTTCAAACCAGGCTCCTACAGCTGGTGGGGCTTTTTAGCAGCTGGCAAGAGTCGTGTCAAGAGGAGAACACAGTATTTACAATTTTTTCATCCATCTCTAATCTCCTAATCAGAAAAAGACATCAAACTTCTATGTAATGATAGTCATATGTGGTCAATTTGAACACTCAGAAAGACTAAAGCTGTCAGTGGGACAAAAGATGAAAGTATCTCCCTTTCCCTCCATCTTTTTCTTCTCCGTTCTCTCTTCATTTACCTCCTTAATTCTTTTTCTCCTTTTTTCCCCTCTCCCTTCTTCCTTTTCTCCTTTCTTTCCCTCCTTTTTCTCCCTTCACTCCCTAATTTTTCACTCTCCCCTCCCTCCTTTTTCTCTCATCCCCCTCCTTTCTTTTTCTCTGCCCTTCATCTTTTTTCCCTTCTCCTTCCTATCTTTTCCTTCTTTATCCCCTCTTCCTTATATTTCCCTCCCTACTTCCTCATTCCTCCCTTCTATTTCTCCTGCCAGGTATCATCCCATTTCCCAAGTCAGCTGGTACTTACCTTCTTAGGTTCGCATTCCTCTCTGGCTCACTCTTCCCTTCTCCCCTCTCTATTCTCTTCACCCCTCTTACTCCATGCCTTTACCCACTCTCCCCTTGCTTAAAAAAATTTTTTATCCATATCTGTTGTCTTTTTATATCACTTATATTTTCTTATTTATCCCTTTCCTCTCCCCCTCCCAGAATGACACCCTTCATCATAAAGAACAAAAAAGAGGGGAAAAATTTAGCAAACCTAACCAACATATCATCCAAGTCCGACTTCATATATGTTGTTTCACACCTGTAGTTGGTCTCCGTGTTTTCAAAGAAAGGAAGTCCTCCCTCTTTTCTTGTTTTCTCCCTCTTCTTTTTTCTACTGCTGTCCACCCTCCCCTTTTTTATTTTGCTCTTGAAATGTAAAACAGTGGAAGGCCTGCTGGATTTGGAGTCAAAGGACCTATGTTTTAATCCCAGCTCTGCCTTTTGCTACTTGTGTAACCTGGGGCAAATCCCTTTCTGGGACTCAGTTTCTTCATCTGTAAAATAAGGGCATTGGACTAGTGGACTTATAATGTCCTTCCAGCTCTAAGTCTATGATGTTTTAAATCCCTTTTTAACCATGTATCATATTACGTAGTAATTCCCCCTTCTTTGAATCATTTAACTACTCCAAGCTTTGCCAAACAAGTCTTTGCACAACTGGTTTTCCCATGGAGAAACTATACTAAAGCCCAGTGTATTATAGATATCAGCAAAATGAAACCCAGATTCTCTTATTTTCTGAGTCTTTGGCTTCCATTTGCTTTCGTTCTTAAAATCGTCTTTGTTATTTTGAACTTACATTTCTATATGCAAAAAAAAACCCAGAAAAGATGACTATATATGTAATTGTGAACTTACGTATATAGTTTTTTTCCTTGAAATTAACAAAGCTCTCCTGCTTATCACCTTCTAAACTTCCTTCTGCTCTCTTTTATCTAAACTTTCAATGTTCCATTGAGTTTCTTTTCTCTTTCTGCATCGTTATCATTACTCCACCAACCTTTCTTCCTCCTTCCCAAGCCTTCCCTTATAATATGTAAGTATAGTCAAACAAATATAGCAAAACAAATTAATACGTTAGCTATGCCCGAAAACGTCTTATTTAGTACCTCTGATCCATCGTCTTTCTACCAAGATCTAGGAAGATGACTCCTCATCAGTTATCTCAAGTCATGACTGGTTTCCAGAGTTTGACCAAAAGATTGACTAGAGATAGGGGCAGCTAGGTGGGGCAGTGGATAGAGCACTGGCCCTGTATTCAGGAGGACCTGAGTTCAAATCCGGCCTCAGACACATAACACTTACTAGCTGTGTGACCATGGGCAAGTCACTTAACCCCATTGCCTAGCCAAAAAAAAAAAAAAAAAGAAAAGTTTGACTAGAGTTCTGTAGCTTTTTGAAGTTGTTTTACTTCATATTATTGTGATCCTGTGTAAATTGTCATCCTGATTCTGTTTACTTCAAAAGACAAAAGTGAAACAGACCCTTTCCTCAAGGATCTTACATCCTAACAGGAGAAAACACACGTCTGACCTAATCATGTACAAAAAGGTAATTTTAGAGGGTCAGGTGCTAGCAGCTAGGGTGAGGAGGGGAGGGTTGGGGATAGGAAAGGCCTGCTGCAGAAGGTGATGCTTCAGCTAAGTTTTGAAGGACATTAGATTCCTAGAGGCACAGCTGAGGATGGAGAACATTCCTAGCATGCATCTAAATGGGAGCTGGAGTGTTGTGTGTGAGGAACCCTCAAAGACTATAGAGACCCTGGAGGAAGAGGATATGTAAGAAGATCAGAAAGTTAGGAAGGGGCTGGGAAGTGTTTTAAATGCCAAACATTTGGTATTTAATTTCTATTCCATTTAATTTTAACATCCTATTATAGAGATAACAGGGAGCCACTGCATCTTTTTTTAAGTAGAAGAATGATATGATCAGACCTGTACTTTAGGGAAGTCACTGTAGCAGTGTGGTAGCAGTGTGCAAGATGAGTTAGAGTAAGGAAGAGACTTACAGCAAATAAACCAATGATGAAGGACAAGGGCCTGAACTAGGGTGATGGTGCTGTGAGTGAAGAGAAGGAATGTATTCTAGAGGTGTAAAGATACAAGCTGTAAGACTTAGCAACTCATTGTATATGTGGGGTGAATGAGAGTGGGGCATTTTCCTCTGTTTCTGACCTTTTGGGAGTGTATGCCTAGTTGTATTACTGAGTCAAAGGATACACACATAGATTCGTGACTTCTTTTGTGATAGTTCCAGATTGCTTTCCAGGATGATTTCCGTTTGCTTTCATCATACACTATCAAAGCAGAAAAATGGAGTCCTTAAGAGGATGCATGAGTAACAAAGAGCTCAAAGAGCATGAGCACAAAGATTTTTACCCTTGATTTAAGATGGCCCCAGAACTCATCTCTGTATGAGACAGGGACTTCATGTCCTAATGAAGTGCTGACCTTAAATCTGTAGTACGTAGTACATAGTCAGGTCTTCATAAAAATTGCCAAAAATGTTGATGTTTTGGTATCTCTGTAAAATCGTGGAAAATCAATCCTTCCTTCTGGCATTTTAGATTTCCCTAAATGCTTTTCTCTTTGTATAGAAATGAACAAGCCACCTGTGGCCAAAATAATTGGGAATGTAGTAATAACTCTGCCCACTAATACAGCTGAGCTGGATGGATCCAGGTCCTCCGATGACAAGGGCATAGTCAGTTACCTCTGGACTAGGGATGAAGGAAGCCCAGCAGCAGGGGTAAGTATTCTGGTAATTGTGGCCTTTGATGTAAGGTGGGAAAGGAGCAGGTCCAAAATTTAAGCTCAGTCAACACACATTTATTAAGTACCTCTTATGTGCCATGCACTTTGCCAAATGTTCGCTCTTACTAAACTTAAAGTATAATTGTATGACCATAGTTTTTCATAATTCTTTATTTTTCCTGATAATCCATTGAGAATTCAAATCAGAAATTGATCTGAATTGAAATAGGAGGGTATAATGTAGTATGTAGTAGTGAGATGTTGTAGGGATCCTGAGAAGGAAATGGGGGTGGTGTTTTTTTCCCCAAAAAATATCATCTATATAATTCAACCCACAGGAAGTACTAAATCATTCTGACCATCACCCCATTCTATTCCTCTCCAACCTGGTGGAAGGAACTTACACATTTCACTTGAGAGTGACTGATGCAAAGGGTGAGAGTGACACAGACCGGACTACTGTAGATGTGAAGCCAGGTGAGTCCTTCTAGGGCCAGCACCTGAGGGAGCAGTTAGTCTCGACTTTGAGGATGACTCTTCTTGCCTTAGCTTAGGGCTAGATGTGATGTCTTGGGTCTTACTGTCCAATGGGTGGTGGTAAGAGCGTGGGATGGTTTGGTGATTTTGAGCACAGGGACATGGGTAGCTTGAGTCATGATGCTTCATCAGAGCCCAGATGCAGAAAACAATTTATTTTTATAAGTTAAGCCCGAGGCTTTATGTGACAGCTCACCGAAGGTAAAATAACTGGCATCCTTTAAGTTAGCAGATTTGCAGAAATGAGATGTCCTTCTTAAATAGAACTTTGTGTCTTTTATTTTGCTTCAAGGCTAATTTGTGCTATAGCTCTGGGGAGAGGGGAAGAATTTATCAGGGCCTTTGCATTCCAGAGCATCTGGTTAGGAAGGAATGGTGACAGCCCACTCTTGAGTATTCAGGCTAACAATAGAAAGCTCAGGTATGGAAAGACTCCTCAGGCTGCAGTGGAGCTCAAGAAGTCATCTCATTCTCATCCTCATCCTCCAGGCAGGGTGGCTAGCCTCTTCCAGACACTGGAGAGGCTTACTGTTTATGTGAAAATCACAGCTAATCTACCAATTATGCAAATTATACATCAGAACATGCAAATTGTGCATCCAAATATATAAATGAGGTAGCTACTCTTGACAATGAAAGTTTTTACTTCTAAATGTAGAAACCAACAGTCTTTAATCACTTATTCAAAGGTAACCCGACAGAGAGCATAGCAGCAATATAACTCTATCCTAGTTAAAGATGCTTCCACCATTTTGACATATCAGGGTTTCTTTGGAGCCAGGTTCTTATTGGCAGGCCTCCTTTTTCTACCATTGCTGCTCATAGCACCTTCCTTCTCATAGAATCATGTGCTTTGGAGTTAGAGAGGACCTAAGAGGTCATCTAGATTATTTTACAGATGAGGAAACTGAGGTCTAGGTAAGGGAAATGACTCCCAAGGTCACATAAGTAGCAAGGAGCAGAGATAGATCCCCTAATTCTAGATTCAGTGGGAGCTTTTTCCTCACTACACCAGGGCAGGGTCCAGACAAAGTGTTCTGAGATCAAACAGATTTCATCTTAAGTGATATTTGTTCATGTCTTAAATTAATCCTCAGATTAATTAATTTAATTAATCCTTAAATTCTCCTCAGAAGATCTACCTAATATACTGGAAGCCTTCCTTTAGATCTTTTAATGTTATATGTGATAGCGCAATAAACAAATACCATCCATTAGTCTGGCTGCCCTTTCACTTTCCATTTGTACCCAGCAAGTTTAGATAAAGACTGGAACAAAAATTTAGCCAAATTTATCCATTATTTAGTTATTTATCCATTATTTAGATCATTAAGAAGGGAGCATATTAACTCCCAAGGCAGTGCATTCCATTGATAAACAACTGTAATTATTAGGAAATTCTTTCTTATATGGACCTAAAATCTATTTCCCTTTAACTTTTGTCTGTTGAGCCTAGTTTTTTCCACTAGGTCCAAGTTGAAGAAGTTTACTCTCTTTCCCCATGACAACCCTTCAAATTGATGAAGACCATTACCTCAGTATGTTGAGTGAGCCTCAGCTACCCACTTCCTACAGTAGACAAGATCATTTAGACATCAGACTGCAAAGAAGATCGTAATTTGTAATTTGGAGTTCATCAGGCTTGCTCACCCAGCTGTTCTGCTGCTTCATTTCCAAATTTTACCTGATAAACCCCTTCAGGTAGGCCCTAGGGCAGAGTCCAGGCATGGTCTTGAAGTATTATATATAGGGAATCATCTATAGCTTCTTAACCCTGGAAGGAGGCCACCTACAATTCTAAGGAACCTTTCTGCCACCTTCCTTTCTTGTGTGCCAGAGTAAATGCCTAAAGGCATTGTAAGGGCAACTAGGTGGCACAGTGGGTAGAGCACTGGCCCTGAAGTCAGGAGGACTTGAGTTCAAATCTAGCCTCAGACACTTACTAGCTGTGTGACCCTCGGGCAAGTCACTTAACCCCGATTGCCTCAAAACAAAACAAAAAAATAAAGGTATTGTGTCTTTTGGGAAGTGTGCTGACTATTTTGCTCTGCCTGCTCTCTGTCCTTTACAGATCCCAGGAAGAATAACCTGGTGGAGATGATCCTGGACGTCAATGTCAGCCAACTGACAGAGAGGCAGAAGGGGATGTTCATTCGGCAGATTGGTGTCCTCCTGGGGGTGCTGGATTCTGACATCACTGTGCAAAAGATCCAGCCATATACAGAGCAGAGGTGGGGATGGAGGAGAGGAGACAGTCAAGGGACCAGGCTTCCACTGAGCAATGATGGCAGTGGAGAGGCCTAGGTTTCTTCATTTTGAGCCTGTCACAGCAAAGGGAGAAAGTCCCTAAGTCTTCTGTGGTAGTAATCTTTCTCTTAGCTCTAGAATGTCTCTCTCTATTTCCAGTCTCACCAGACAAAAATAATTAATCGAATCTAGCCTCTTCTAACAGGACAGCTAGGTGGTACAGTGGTTAGAGTGCTGGACTTGGAGTTAGGAAGACCTGTGTTCCAATTCTGCCTCAGACACTTCCTAGCTGTGTGACCGTAGGCAAGTCACTGAACCTCTCTGGATCTCAATTTCCTCATTTGTAAAATGGAAGGATTGTACTCCATGACCCCTATGGTTCCTTTCAGTTCTAAAGCTGTAGTCTTAAGATGAAGAGATCTTACCTAGCCTTTGTTGACCCATTTAGAAAGGGCCTCTAGTGTCAGCATCAGATGCCATTGACTTTTTCCTGGGTTGCATTTCCTTACAGCACGAAGATGGTGTTTTTTGTACAGAATGAGCCTCCACACCAGATCTTTAAAGGCCATGATGTTGCAGCGATGCTCAAGAGTGAGCTGAGAAAGCAGCAAACAGATTTCCTGATCTTTCGGGCCCTGGAAATCAATACCGTCAGTGAGTAGTTGTAGGCCATGGGAACAGAAAGCCCTGACTACACAACCCAGGGATCTGTAAGAAAAAGCTTTGTCATTCTTCCCTTCCTATGGAAAGTGAAATCCAAAGGGTCATTCTTATTGGTTTGGATTCTTGATGTTGATAAGATTTTGACTGGTATTCAAATTGATGCCTGGAGAGGTATCTTGATATGATGGATAGAGAGAGTTGTCCTTGGGGTCAGGAGAACCTGACTTCAAGGGCCACCTCCGATTCTTACTGGCTGTGTGGCCCAGGGTTATCTTTACAAGAAACCTTTCCCAGTCCACCTTCCTAGTGCCTTCCCTCTATGATGATCTCCATTTCATCCTGTCTGTGACTTGTTTGACTTAGTTGTTTGCATGTTGTCTCCACCATTGGACTGTGAGCTCCTGGAGAACAGGGGCAGTCTTTTACCTTCGTTTGTATCTCCAGCTCTCAGCATAGTGCCTGGTATATAGTAGGTGCTTATTAAATGTTCATGACTTGACTTAACCTTAAGTGCTCTAGGCAACTCCCTTAGACCCTTCAGTTGTAGAACTGTAGGTACCAGTCTGCTTTGGTGGAGGGAATTTCCTCGATGGAAATTCCTAATACCAATGAAATCATAGATCCACATCAGAATAATAATAAAACAAACCCCATTATGAAGTTACTCACCAGCCCCTGAATTTGGGTTACTACGTGGGTCAAGTTGTATTCCCCTTGTAGGCGGTGACGTCTCACTGCCCATGGCCTGTAACATAAGCGTTGAGTCTTTGCTGAAGTACCCTTGGGATGACAGGACTTTGCCGTATGACAGCAACATTGATGAAGTCCTCACCAGATACATTGGAAGCATCTTTGTGTGGACTTCTACAGATGAAAAATATCTTGTGAAGGGTTTTGAAAACCTTAAAGGCTGTTTAAAGATCAGCCCTTGTTCCGATTGTTGTGGCTCCATCCAGTCATGTGTATTAGAGCAGCCACCTAGGCCAGCCAGAGGAAACTCTGTCTGTGAGAAACTGCATTGCACCCTTGGAGCATTCTGCACTTTGCCTTGAGAATCAGAAGTCCTCCGTCCTGCTAGCTTGGCTAACAACGTGGCTTTTTTAGTGACTTCGCTTCCCTTCCCCCATCAGCTTGTCAGTTGAACTGCTCTGATCATGGCCACTGCGATTCTTTCACCAAGCGCTGTATCTGCGACCCTTTTTGGATGGAGAACTTCATTAAAGTGCAGCTGAAAGATGGAGAGAGCAACTGTGGTATGTGACCCTTGGAGCTCAGTTAGCTGAATTTAGCATTGATCTTGTCTCTGAAGTGAGCAGGCATATTGGGCTGACAATGGAGATTAGCTTTGGGCATTTCTATTTCCCTTATGTACACTCTTATTCCTTAAGGTCTGGGCAAAGTCTAAGAATTGGAATAAAATGAATTGTATGTAAGATGAGGGAAGCACTTAAGTAAGATAAGGCCTACTGATAGGCAGGGTCTTTCTGAAATTCATCAAGGTGATTTATCTTTGTTTTATCACAAAAGTAGCTTTCCATTTATCTATAATTTTCTGTCTCAGCCATCCATATCTCTCCAGTGTCCTTATGTGCTTTTGACAGTAATGACAGTAATGACAGCCAATGAACTTTTAGGACTTTACCCAACAGTGCCTATGGGTCCTTCCTTCTTATGCACAAAAGGGCTGAGCTCTAACCTTCCCTGGAGAGTCCTAAGACTGATCAGGAAATGGGTCCATTTCTTTTCATTGGGTCCTGATCTTGCTTTCCAGACTCATATTCCCTTCTGGTTCTTACCTGCACCTACAAAGGTCTACCTTTACATTTGCTTTCAACAGCAAGGAAGCAGTTGCCCTGGCCCCATGTCTACCTTCCCAACCCTTATTTTGTAGTTTTCCTCTACAGAATGGAGCATCCTCTATGTCATCATTGCCTCGTTTGTCATTATTGTTGCATTGGGGATCCTGTCCTGGACTATGGTCTGCTGCTGTAAGAGGTAAGACAGGAGAGGACCCAGGATGCTGCTAACTTCTCCCCACAACTTAAAACTATGTGTAACTAGCTATTGTCTTCCTTTTTTACATTATAATTGTCACAGCCACATTGTTACAGTGACTTTAGCATTCTGTGGATATAGTTAAGGACTGGTTGCCATTACATTGTCATCAAGGTCACTATCCTCTTTTCTACAATGTGAGAGGATTAGGGCAGCAAAATTTGCCCTGAGTGGCTGATATTTGAAGAGAAAACATGACTTTCTGCCTCTTTCCTTAACCTGTCAGCCTGTGAGGCTGGGTATATGTCTTTAAATACTGTGCTACCTGTCCAGGCCTGGAGCCTCTTTCATCAGCCCTGATCTGAGTTGTTATTATGCCTTCCTCCCCTTTTTGCACTCTGTGGTAAAGCCAAGCTAACATTCCAACTGTCCTTCGCATGATATTCCATTTCTCATCTCTGTACTTTTGCACTGCCTTGGCTGTCCCCCATGCCCAGAATGCACTCCCACCTTATCTTCACCTCTAGGTGTCCCTGTTTCCTTCCACCCTTTGTGCTAGTGACACCTTTCCTGATCTCCCCTTGCTCCTAATGCTTCCTCCACTTCATCTTATATTGATTTTGTATATGCTTATTCGTGTGCGTGTTGTCTCCCCTGAAACATCGTGAGCATCTTAAGGTCAGGAACTGTTTCTGTTTGGTCTCTGTAGCACCAGCACGTCACTTAGAGTGACTGGCATATAGTAAACAATCAATGCTTGTTGACTGTTTTCTAGGCGAAAAGGGAAACCCAAGAGGAAGAGCAAGTACAAGATCTTGGATGCCACAGATCAGGAAAGTCTGGAGCTAAAACCAAACCCCAGAGCAGGTAATCCTTCTCCAGGGCAGTCATTTGAAGCTGGGGCAAGGAAGTTTTTTATCCTACCTGATCAAAATAAAAGTGTCGGAATCTGAGCCAAGTCAACAGAATACTATTCACCTGACCTTGATTCTTTGAAGTGCATATGATGTTCTGTAGGGAGGACAGACTTGGTGGTGAGAACTCCAAGAGGACCTCTAGTTAGCTACCTCTGTTACATAGAGCTGAAGTGAATTAGCTGGATGGAGAAGAGCCAAGACACCCCCAAGGCTAGAGGAATGACACCTGAGGGTGCTGACTGAAGAGCTTGGAAAGACCATGGAAAGCCAGAGGTGTTTGCTGCAGATTAGGAAATGAGCAAATGTCCCAATTTTCTTATTTTTTAAGTAGAGGATGGAGGCTTGAAGTCTTCAAATTTTAAACCAGTGAGCTTGAACTTGATTCTGGCAAAATCTTAGAATGTGAAAGGATGATTTTGAACATCTGAATGGGGAGCAGTAAACACTAAAAACTAGCTTAGCATTATCACAAACTACTTGGTCAGACTACTCTTAGGGAAATTAGGCTGGTAGTTATCATGAGAAGTGCTGTAAATATGGGGAGTATGCCTGGATTTCAGCAAAGCAGGTGATGGTTTCTCATTACTGTCCTCGTAAACAAGGTAGGGAGATGTTGGTGATGGTTTTAGAAATGGCTGAATGCTCAGACCTCTGACTGTCATCTAATGTTTTTTTCAGGGTACCTGAAGAGTGGGCATTGGTGGGTCAGTGTCAGTTTGGCAGGAGTTCTCTAGTAGAATGCCTCGAGGATCTAATTCTTGGCGTTGTGTTGCTTAACATTTTTATTATTGGTTTGGGTGTTAGCATAGAAAGCATGCTTGTCAGATATGCAGATGGCATAAATGAAGACGAGAGCTGACAGATCGGATAACAACCCAGATCCAGAAAGTTTTCACTAAGACAGATGATAGGGTGAATTGAACAGAAATGGCACAATGGAAAGAATGCTGAATTTTAACCTCAGGCAAGTCACAGCCTCTCTGGGCCTTAGTTTTCTCATCTTTAAAATGAGAGGAGGTTGGGTTAGATGACCTTTGAGGTCTCTTTTGGCTCTAAATCTATGATCCTATGAAATATAAAATACTTAACTGAGAAAGGAAAGGTAAGGAGAGAAAGAGTATGGCTGTAGAACAACTCCAGTGAACGAAATCTAGGAATTTTAGCGGACTGCAAGCCCAGTATCTTATCACCAGTGTGATAAGACTGCTATCTGACTGCTAGAAAAGTTCGTATAGTCTTAAGCTAAATTAAGAGAGTGAGCATAGTGTCCAGAAATAGGGAAGTGATGATCCATCCCATTATAATCTTCCCTAGTCAAATTGTATCTGAAGAAATATGCTATCTTTTGGGCACTACATTTTAGAAAGGACGTAGATAAATTGAAATATGTCTGGAGAAGGACAACCAAGGTAGTAAAACAACTCAAGTTCGTGCCTTTTGAGGGTCAGGTGAAGGAAATGGGGATATTTAGCCTAGAGGACAGTTTGGGAGGGCAGGGGGGACAAGTATATAACTATCTCTAAGTATTGAAAGTCATGTAGAAGAGGAATTAGATTTCATTCTACTTGGCCCTAGAGGACAGAACTAAGAGCAGCGGGTAGATATAAGGGAAAACTTACGAATAGTTAGATCTATCCAAAAAGTGGGATGGCTGCCCTTGGAGGTGTCAAATTTCCTATGCCTAGAGATACTTAAGCAAAGATTAGATGACTCCCTGTCAAGAATGGTATAGAGATGATTTGTCCTCAGGTGCAGGTTGGACTGGATGCCCTGTAGGTCCCTGCCAGCCCTGAGAATCTGTGATTCTGAAGATGTTGGATGGGTCTGCCACAGCAGGTCATAGACCCAAGGCACAATTGAAGAGGTAGCTAAGACTTGGAGGATATAAGGAAAGCCAGAAAAGGAGTCTGGGGCAAGCAGCCCCGCCCTGCCTGGGCTCCTTCTGCCTCCTGTTTGCACCTAAAGTCTTTTCTTCCTGTCCATCCCGCAGGAGACCAGCACTTTGGCCCTCCCTTTTCTGTCCTGGGACCCAGCTTTTGGGGGCCTGGAACTTGGACAGGTCGCCCTTCCAAGTGCACTAGTTCTGACTGGTTCTGGCCAAGTCTCAGAGTAGTGCTGCTAATGAGAGGAAGTGTAGATAGGGCTCTTATCTAGTTAGCCACCCCTCAACATATATTTATGACCAAGTCACATCTCCCTTTCTGGTTGTTACACACAATAGTGGATCTCCTGACTGTACCTTTGCCTTGGCTGTTCCCCATGCCTGAAGTGCTCTCCCTCCTCATCTCCACCTCCTGGTTTCCTCCAGGGCTCAGCTCATATCCCACCATTCCAGGTCTCCCTCCCCCCCCACCAGTGCCTTCCCTTTACCTTTCTTGCGCCCTGTATGTGCTTATATTCTCGTGGTTTTTGCCGGTCATCCTGCAACTACCCTTCGCCCCATCCCCACCCCATTAGAATGTATCCTCTTTGATGACAAGGAACCTTGCTTTGGTATTTTCTTCCCTTAATGACAGGGAGTCATTAACACAGTGTCTGGCACATTGTAAGCACTTAAAAAAATGTTTGTTGTCTGACTGACCTGACCTCTGTCATCAGCCTCCTCCCTGAATTCCTCTTTTCCCACTAGAATGCTTGGTCCATTTTCTTCCTGTCCTTTTGCACCTGTACTTTCAGGCAGTGTCTCAGCAGCCCAGTATATGAGGAGCTTCCCCCTCAGCTCTGGGACTCTTTTATCTGTACCGCCGCTGGAGTCCCTTCCAGCTCTCTGATGTTGTGGTAGGCATCTAGCAGAGAGGCTTCTCTGGGAGCCAGGGCTCATCTACTACATGACTCCTGCTTCCAGAAGTTCCAGCAGCAGCACAGACTCATCAAAAATCACTGTGGTCATGGGCCTAGGAGAGGCTGAGCTGGGTCTTGTTACCAGGAATTGTCGCCTGATGTGCTCTCTCCGTTTCATCCTGGTACCCACAAAGTCCACAGCCCAAGTGTGATGTGTGTCTCTGAGCTGGGATAGCTGTACTCATGCCTCTGAAGGCACCGTTAACTGGAGAGGTCATAGAATCCTACTAAAAGGGACCTCGCTTTTGTCCTGTCCGACTCCCTCACTTTACAGATAAGAAAATGAAGGCCCCAAGAGGAGTGTGATCTGGCCAAGATCATATGGGTGGCGCAGTCCAGTTTCAGAGTCCAGGCCTCTCACTTCTAACTCAGTCCACTCTCCACTCTCCCCTGCTGCCTCAATTTCAGTTAAAAGCGATTATTTAGCAAGCCTTGTGTTTGACCCTGCTGGGAAGCAACCAAAAAGGAACTCCCTTTCCTTACGGAGTTCCCAATCTCCTTGAGGAGATTACTTGGAATGACAGCCTGAGACAGACTGAGGAAGAGTTTGGACTTTGTCCAAATGGGAGTCATTGAAGGTTTCCGAGCAGGGGAGTAGCCCATGAAAGACAGATTGGAAAGAGGAGTGATTGGAAGCAGCACAGGTTAGGTTAATGCTATAAGCCAGGTGAGGTAATGAGGGCCCAGATTTGAGTGGTGGGCTGTGGGAATGGGGAAGAAGGAATAAATATTGGGGGCAAGAGAGAAGATGAGGCTTTGCACCTGGATGACTGGGCTATTAACAGAGAGAAGTCATTTTGGAGTAAGTAACAATTTTAAGTTTGGTTTTCTTCATGCTGAACTTCCCAACAGCAGGACGTACAAATGGGAGAATCAGGTGAAAGAGCTCTGGCTCTGGAGTTAGAGGACATGGGTCAGAAGCTTGGAATTGCTGCCACTTAGCCTCTCTGGGCCTCAGTTCCTCACTTGCAAAATGAGGTTGGACTCTGAGAGCCATCCCAGCTCTGAATCTGTGCCGCTGTAGCCTATGATCACCTGCTTCCAGGAAGCAGTGCCAAGTTGCAGTGTGGGACACAGCCCAGGAAAGATCTCAGGGCTAGAGAGGCCAGTTTCAACTCAACTTACTTTTAAAGCATCCACTGTGTGTAAGGCACTGCACCAGATATTGGGGGTACAAAGAAAAAAATTAAGCCGTCTATTTCAAGCCACTTTCATTCTCTTGGGAATATGGCACTTATTCAATAAGCATTAATTTCAGGAGGGGGAGAGGAGTAACCATTTGTGGAATGAGGGAAGGTCAGTACCTGAGCTGAGCATAGAAAGAAGTTCAGGTAGAGATGAAATGGAAGTACATGCAAGATATGATGGCCAACTTGTGCAGGGGAGATGGAGTGCTGAGTTTGAGGGATAAGGAAATAGTCCTGTTGGTTAGAACATCAGGTATTTATCAGGGAGCAATATGAAATAAGACTAGAGAGAGCAGGTTGGAACCAGATCATAGAGAGCCTTGAATGCCATGCTGAGGAGTTAGTATTTTTCATCGAGGCAGTAGGGAGCCAGTGGAGGTTTTTTGTGCAAGCAAATGATTTAGGCAGCTGTGTGGAGGATGGATTGTTGAGGGGAGAGCTGAAAAGCGGAGGGGACAGGAAGCAAATTACCATAGTTCAGGTCTTTGGAATGGGTCCAAACTAGCTTGGTAGCTATGTGGGGAGAGGGCTGACTCCAGGGTATCAAGTGTGAGTGACTGGTCACCAAGGGAGGCCAGAGAAAGAGAAGAGACAGGGACCTAGGACAGACCCTTGAGACCCAGCCATGTTTAAGAAACAGAAGATGAATTATGAGCCAGTAAAATAGACCAAGGAGTAGAATCAGTGGAGTAGGAGGAGAAACAGTAGAGGGGTATCATAGGAACCGAGAGAGAAGAGAGCATCTAGAAGGAAAGAGCAGGTGATACTGTTGAAAGTTGTAAAAGGGTGAAGGAAGTTGAGGGCATAGAAGAGGTCATCCCCAGATTTAGAAGAGATCGTTAGTAATCACTGAGAGAGCAGTTTCAGTAAAGCGGCAGAGTTGAAAGCCAGAAGGAATTCAAGGGGCTGAGGAATTATTGGCTATAAGGATGAGGAGGCAGCTTGAGGGAATGGCAGGGTCAAGTAAAGGTTTTAAGAATGCAATGCGGGGGCAGCTAGGTGGTGCAGCGGATAGAGCACCGGCCTTGGAGTCAGGAGGACCGGAGTTCAAATCCGGCCTCAGACACATAATACTTCCTAGCTGTGTGACTCTGGGCAAGTCACGTAACCCCAGTTGCCTCGCAAAAACAAACAAACAAAAAAAAAGACTGCAAGAGTCCTGGGCATGTTTGTATGCAGTGAAGAAAGAGCTGGTAGTTAAGGAGAGAGTGAAGAAGCAGAAATGGAATGATTGATGGGTTCAGCTGCTGGAGGATGTGGAAAGGGATGTGATCAGGTTGAGGGACGATGGTTTGGAGCTGACAAGAAGAGCCATCTCTTCCTCAGAAACAAGAATAAAGAAAGGGAAGAGGAGAAGTATAGAGGGTTTTAAAGTGTGGAGCAGAAGAGATAAGGGATTCTCTTTTCTCATTTAAGTAGAAGGTAAGACCTTCTGTCTCCCGAGAGGAGAAGTGGGTATAGGAATAGCATAAAGGTAATCAATTTGGGAAGAAAAAAGATTGCCATTACAATATTGAGCACCCAGTTGAGATTGTGTAACATAAATTTGTAAGGGACCTATTTGGCACATTTGTACATTTTCCTCCAATGGCATTAAGCTGCAAAGAAGTAGGAGATAGTGAAGATGACTAGGTTTGACGTTTGCCAGGGGGTGGATGGTGGAAGGAAAAGCCAGCAAGATATTGAAAGGTGGGTGACCCTGGGGTCAAAGAGGACCATAAGGCCAGAACAGGGAGATAGACTGGGAGGAATGGAGGGACCAGAAGTCTTAGTAAGAACAAAGAGTCAGAAGGAAAGAAAAGGGATTGTGATCAGAGAAGGCAATTTCAAGGTCATGGAATGGAATAGGAGTGGCTGAGATTTCTAAGGACTTGGGACTGAACTTTAGGTAATCCACATGTTTCCTCCAGTGGGAGAAAATGAACGAAGGAGACAAAGAAAGACTTGTTAGAGAAGTAATGAATAGCCAGACATCCTCATGGCTTAGAACCTGGGAAAAGAGAGAATCTTAAATAGGGAAGAGGAGTTCACAGTGCCACTGCTCCATCCCTGCTGGAGAGAGCTAAGAACTGAGGTAGGCCCCACTGTTCTGTTGGAGTTTGGGGGATGTTTCAGGAAAATAGTGCAAACAAAAGCTGGAGTACAGGTGATTCAAGAGTGGGAGATGATAAATGGAAACACAAAAGCTAGAGGGGACACCTGAGCATTTTGTGTTGGGGAGAGCCAACAGGGAAGGAAACAGAAAATGCATGTGATACAGCATGATTGGAGGAACAAGGTGGTGAAGAAGGCAAGAAGACATGGGATTAAGCATAGTTAATGATAATTCCTTAGTGAGGCAAAAAGGGTCACCTCTTCCTTTGAGATAAGATGAGGGAATAAAATGAAAAAAAAATGTTGAAATGCGAAGGAAGGAAAAGAACAAGTTCACTTTGGGCGGTATCAGTTCTGAGTAAAGTAGGAAGCAGAAAGCCCCTGAATGTTGGTGAGCTGATCCATTAGAATGGGAAAGGTTTGGAACAGTTGTTGGTGTGAATTGGGTTGGACAGCCAACAAGAGATAAATAAAAGGATTGCTGACCAGATGAGGCTGGAGAGTGAGGAGAGGGGAGAACTTGTCTGTAGCTACAGAGTGTCCACCAGGTGTGTGTGAAGGCAAAGCCATTCCTTGCCATCTTCCACAAGGGATTGGTGTTTGACCTGGGAGCCGGTGGAGAAAGTAGGCAGAGTGAATCCTGGGTCTAAGGGATGAGCAAAAATGATGTGCTCTGAAGCCAGAAATACCTCATGCCTTGCTGGCTTGTGAATGTTCCTTTTGAACAGATTGGGCTGTGGGCCCCAGAGTTCCTTTGACCATTCTGTTCCTTAGAGTTGCTGGAGCATACTTGTGGCTTGTCCCTCTCTTTAGCCTCAGTATTTGCTTTGAGTGCTTGTGGGAGGACTTGCTAGTTATCTTAGTGCTATGGCTTCTCTCAAGGGTAAGCAGAGTGTTGGGACAACAAGCGTTGCCCCAGATTTCCCTCCTTTTCTCCCATCCTCCTTGCTTCTTACACTCATCTTCTTTACAGGTAACAAGCAGAAGGTCCCCATCCTGAACAGTAGCCTGATGCACTCTGAGTCCGAACTGGATAGTGATGAAGCCATCTTTACCTGGCCTGACCGAGAGAAGGGCCGATTACTTCGTGGACAGAATGGCTCTTTGCGCAATGGACAGGCTGCACTCAAGCCCAAGACCCCCAGAGAGGAGATCTTGTAGCCAGCCTGTGCCCTTGAGAGGAACAGGAAGCAAGGGGGCAGAGGGGAGACAGGGACAACGAAAGCTTGAGAGGTCCAGGCTGCTAAGTCATTTCCTAGACCGTGTGTGTGTGTGTGTGTGTGTGTGTGTGTGTGTGTCTGTGTGTCTGTGTCTGTGTGTTTGTGTGTGTCTGTGTCTGTGTGTCTGTGTGTGTTTTCATTCCATTCTTTCTCCTGTATTCTCTCCTCTCCCTCCCTTCTCCTGTTCTGAACAGAACTGGTTGTACTTGAATCCAGACATCTCTAAGGAACTCCAGAGGAAACTGTGAATGAAGAGACTTCCTCTTCCCCAGGACTTAGCACCCAACCAAAAGGACCTCTATGTGCTGCTCAGCTCAGGACCCCTTCTTCTGGGGGGAGGACACAGTGTAAGCAATTCTAGATGTGTCCTTCCAGGGGAGCTTCCAGCCTGCCCTGTCTTCCTTCATTCCCTCCTCTTCTCCTTGCCTCCCCCGCCCCATCCTTGGATGTGGCTGCTTTCTTCTCTTGTCCTGAGGCCTTCCTACAGCCTAGACTTGCAGGCCCAAGGGAAAAGTAGCACAGCAGAACCTCTTCCTCTCCCCCCTGCCCCGTCCCTCCAGATGGAGCTCCAGGATCCTAATGCCCGCGGGACAGCTTGGAATATGAATCTTTTGGTGTGTGTGTTTAAATTATTTGTCCTTTCACTGAAATGAAGAGAACTGAGCCCCCTCCTTGGGCACTGATGGAGCAAGGCTATGGGTGAGAGGCAGTTCTGATTGTTTTATGCACGAGGTTTTCCCCTCGGGAGCCCAGGCTTGTTCACCAGGGACTCTTCCTCTGTGCTGTTACCACCGCTGCCCTCTCCTCATTCTGTCAGATGTGGAGCACTCACTGTCCACCAGCATCTTTTGGGGCCCCTTGTGACGGGAGCACAGCCGGCCTCTGGTTCCATCCACTTCAGTCAGTCTTTTTCTCCACTTACGCACTAGGGAAGGAGAGGGGAAGGCTGCCTGAAGGACCAGGCGGGGCCCATTCATTTCGGGGTGACTGCGTGCCTGATGCTCTTTTAGTTCCCATTGCCTGATCTGCTTTCAGAGCAAGCATCTGGAAAGTGACCACGCTGTGGTCGGTTCACCTGAACCTGAAGGATTTGTGCCCCATGTTCTCCTCCCATTCTGGCTCATGGCTGGTTCCTCAAGCCTCCCTCCCTGTTCTGCAAGGCTGGCGTCAGAATGAAGGTAGTCACTGGAATTGGCAGAAATGTAGCAGCAGTGTGTGTGTGTGTGTGTGTGTGTGTGTGTGTGTGTGTGTGTGTGTGTGTGTGTGTGTGTGTGTGTGTGTGTGTGTGTACACGCATGACAGAGATGAGAATGAGGACTTTTCCTCATCATTATTTTCTCACTGTGTATCACTGTTTCATTCTCCATCAGAATGTCACTCCTTGTCTATTGGACCTGTTTGCACACTCCAGGGCCCAATTCTTTGCCTGGAAAATTCTATGTGGGCAAGCAGGCCTGTTGTGCATCTCTGCCTTGCTGAAGACAGCTTTGCCCTCTGTTTCTGGGTGCTGGAGGTTTTGAGAGAAAACTTTTTTTTTTAAAGAAAAAAAATTTATACTACTGCACTACAGGCTTGTTGTGAAATGATTAAACATGCTATTTAATTTTTCTTGTAGCCCACTGAATGTAGTGATGCCTTGCTAACTTTATTGAATTTTCAGCAAAACCAGCAGCTTTCCATTTGTTTTTCTTACATATGACAGGTGCCAGCCAAGAAGTCAAGATTAGGTTCATCTAACTGTCAGGTGTAGGCAGCTCAATGACACAGTGAATAATGCACTGGGCCTGGAATCAGGAAGACCTGTGTTCAGATCCAGTCTCAGGCACTTAGTAGCTGTGTCACCCTGGGCAAGTCATTTAATCCTTTTTGCCTCAGTTTCCTCACTTTTAAAAAAAAAAAATAAGCTGGAGAAGGAAATAGCAAACCACTCCATTATCTTTCCCAAGAAAATCCCAAATGTGGTCACAAAGAGTTGGACACAAGAACAACTGTCAGATGCCTGTAGTCCAGAGTTTCCTGAGATTTCCTGGGCCTCCCTCCCCCTCCTGTCATTTTAGTCTGAGGTAAATGGGGAAGTTTTCCTCCACTTTCACCATGCCTTTATGCCTTGACACAGGTGATGCATGGATACATGGGTATGCAGAGGCTGTGGGAGTCTAGGGCTGCTTTGAACTATGGGAATAAAGATGAGGAGAAAGTCTTTGGATGCTCCTTGCACAGCTCCAAGTCTTCCTTATTTCTCTTCAAAGGATTTGGAACTTTTAGCCTAAATAAAGGAAGATTCAGGGAGGACATGATAGGTGTCTTCAGCTACTTAAAGGATGTCGTGTGTAAAAGAAATTTGATTTTTCTGGTTGGCGTCAGAGGGCAAAACTTAGAAGCAATGAGTAGAAGTTGCAAAGAGGCAAATTTAGGCTTGAAATCAGGAAAATCTTAGCGGGAGCTGTCCCAGAACAGAACGAACCATCTGAAGAAGCCACAGATGGTCACTTTCATTGGTGGTCTTTAAGGAGATGCTGCAGGGCCATTTCCAGTTTGGAGGAGTGGGGTGCATATGGGGTAGGTCTTTTTCAGCTATGTACTGAACTAGAGGACCAATAAGGTCCCTTCCAACTCGGAAATTCTGTGATTTTTGTGTTTGTGGGTTGGGAGAGGAGGATCAAAACTGTTTGAGCTGTCCTCAAAGCATCTGAGGTAAACTAAGCTCAGCCTATAGACACAGAAGTTCTTTCCAAGCATGCATTAAATCATTTGATCCACAGAATAACCCTGAGCTGGATAGTATTGGCTTTACCCTCGTTTTACAGGAGAGAATCATCTTGCCTTACATGAAGTCACTCCGATCTCCATTTGCAAAGTCAGAACACAAATTCGTGTCCTCTTAACTACAAACCCAGGGCTCTTTGGTAATCAGGCTAGGGAGAGAAAGATTGCCCAAACAACTACAATATGAAGTCTCCAGTACATAAGATAGAAATGAGATGGTAAGATCAGAGAATGGAGAGATTACTTCCAGCCAAATGGATGATTGAGGGTTTCATGGAGGGGTGTGGTTTTAGTTGAGCCTTGACAGGTTTTAAAAGAGGAGGATGAAGATGGTAAGGTGCTTGGCAGGAGGGGTGAGGATGAGAAAGGGGAGAGTTTGGCTAGAGTAAAAGCGTGTTGGAAAGAAGTGAGAGGAGGGAGACAAGCCTGGAAACACTGGTTGATTCTTTGGCCAAATCCCATAGGTGGACGTCATTTTATGGGTAGCAAGAATCATTGAAGAGTTGTAACTGAGGAAAAGGCATTTGATAGTGTTTTAGATAACTGAATTGAGTTCTAACAGTGAGTGGGACACATCAATTAAAGGGAAGCTTGGAAAGGTGGTATTTCAGAAAATGAGAATGCAGAATGTTGCTTGGCCTCTTTACACATGGTTGCTTTTTCTAAATTTGGTTACAAGGATCATTTTGATGGGTTAGGGATTCCAGAAAATGACGTGATGTTTCTTCAAAATCCTTAAGGCATCAGTTTTAAAAAGAAGATATTGCAGTCAGCTAGGTCAGAGGAGACAAGGGCCTACACTATAGTGGTGACTATGGGAATGGGAAGGAAGCGAGGAATTGAGGTACAGAAATAATTTGTAGACCGTGGCAACTAATTGTATTTGAGGAATTGTGATTGAGGGGCGCTGGTTCTGAAGAAGAGGGAGAAGTTAAGAATGACTGGTGAAACCATTGACCAAGAGGTGAATCGGGAAAACGAGCTGATCTGAGCGTGAGCCCTCTTCAGATGCTCTGGCCCAGCCATTGCTGGCCACTCTTTCCTGTACTGACGTACCTTCTCTCATCCTCCTCAGCTCACAGGTTGAGACAAAGGAGTTGTACTACTCCTTGCTCCCCATTGCCACTTCCAGGTTTGTCTCCTTCCTCCATCACTCAGTAACCTCTTCCTTTGAGATTCGTGCCATTCACCCAGTGAAAATCCTGGTAGCTGTTGTACAGACCCTACCCCTCCCCAGGTCATTCCCCCTACCCCCCCCTCCAGGTCATTCCCCTTCCTTCTTTAGTGATATATTCCTTCCTTCCTTATAAGTTTTCTCTCCTTCCCAATTCCTACCCTCATACCAGGCCAGGGGACTTCAACATATATATTGATTCTCCCTTAAATATTCTAACCACTCAGTTCCTCAACCTACTCATCTTCCATTAGTTACTTCTCTACCCCACCTAAGCCACACACAAAGATGGTCATACCCTTGATCTTGCCATCACCCACAAATGCACCACCTCCATGTTAAAGAATTCTGAAATTGCCTTATCCAACTATAATCTATTGGCTTTTCACTTCTCTCTCTGCCTTTCCTTGCATAACCCTATTCTTCATCTGCAATGTGACCTGCAATCCCTTGATCCCTCAGTTCTCTCCCAGGCCATTTCCTCTTCATTAGTCATTCTTTCCTCTTCTCCCTATCTTGACTCTTTGGTGAGCCCATTCAACTTTACACTGTCCTCTCCTCTTGAATTCCTTTTTCCTTTATCATATCATTGATTATACCCAGCTAAGCCTTAACCTTAGATCACTCCCACCATTCATCACCTTTGCTCCTACCCACATGTGGCTGAATGAAAGTGGAGAAAATCTTCCAACCATTTCAATTGGGTCCACTACAAGTTTATGTTACATAATGTCAACTGGGCCCTCATTGTTGCTAGTCAGTCCTGCTATACCTCCTTTATAATCACACTATCCCACTTGCCACAGCAGCTCTTCCAAACCTTTTCATCCCTCCTCAAACCTCTCATGGCTTCCCCTTCCCTACTCTCTCATCTGAGAGCTTTGCCTCATATTTTACAGAAAAACAATAAGGCCATTCATTGTGAACTCCCTCCTCTTCCCTCTTCCTCATCTCCTATCGCTCAGATGCCTATGGCCACATTGTCCTCCTTCATCTCTGCCTCACATGATGAAGTGGCCTTACTCCTCTCCAAGTCTCTCCTTTCTATTCAAGTGATCCCATTCCATCCTCTGTCCTCCAAAAGATTGTCCCCTTCTGTCATCCTCATTTGTCCACTTATTTCCAGTGTCTCCTTGTCTACTGACTCATTTTCTACTGCTTACAGACATGCCCACGTGTCCCCCTTCCTGAAAAAAGCCCTTACTTGATCCTCCCATCCCTGCTAACAATCATCCCCTATCTCTTCTGCACTTTGGAGCTAAATTCCTCAAAAAGGTATCTGCAATAGGTGCCTGCACTTTTCTCTCACTCTTCTTGACCCCTTACAATCTGCCTTCTAGCCTTACCATTCCACTGAAACTGGTCTCTCCAAAGTTACTAATGATCTCTTAGCTGCCAAATTAAATGGTCTCTTCTCAATCCTCATTCTCATTCTCTGTAGCCTTTGACACTGTTGACCACTCTCTGCTCTTTGATATTCTCTTCTCCCTAGATCTTCAGGACATCACCTTCTCCTGGTGATGTCTATCTATCTATCTGACAAGGCTTTCTCTGGATCATCCTCCAGGTCATTCCCTCTAACCATAAGTGCCCCTCATGATTCTGTCCAGGATTTTGTCTTCTCCCTCTATACTGCTTCATTTCATGATTGCGTCAACTCCCATGGATTTAATTATCATCACTATGCTGATATACTTGAGATTATTCTCAAGTCTACCTATTCTGCCCCTTCCTCTCTGCTGACTTCTGATATCACATCTCCAACTGCTTTACAGACATCTTGAACTGAATGTCCAATAGACATCTTAAACTCACTATATCCAAAACTGAACTCATTATCTTTTCCTCCCCTTCTCCTACCTTTCCTATTACTGTAGAGGGCAACTCCAGCCTCCCAGTCCAGGCTCACAACCTAGGAGTCATCCTAGACTCCTCACTCTTGCTTACCCCACATTTCCAAGCTGTTGCCAAGGCCTGCCGATTTCACCTTTGCAACATCTCTCCAATATGCCCCCTTTTGACCTCTGACATGGCCATCACTCTAGTGCAGGCCCTCATTAATGTCTGTGTAAAAGCTTTTCAGTTTCATGTAGTCAAAGTTATTTTATCTTTTGTAATTGCCTCTATCTCTTGTTTGGTTAAGAATGTGTCTCCTACTCATAGCTTTGAGAAGTATATGATCTGTTTCTCTAATAATTTTTTTAATAGTACAATCTTTAGTACTAAGGTCGTGTGTCTGTTTAGAATATATTATGGAATGTGGTATAAGGTGTTGGTCAAAGCCTAATTTCTGCCATACTGCTTTCCAGTTTTCCCAGCATTTAAATCAAATTAATTCTTTCCTAATATATGTTTTCCACTTTGTCAAACACTGGGTTATTAAGTTCTGTTATCTCTGATTCTCTTAATCTAGTCTTTAGTGGCATGACCCAGACTTCTCCTGATAGAGTTGAGAGGCCATAATTCTGAAACTGTGTTATCCACCAATTTTGCCCACCTATCTTTGGGTACTAAAGAAGGGCTACCATCTGTCCTTTCCAATTGCAAAACAATTAGTGCAAAGGGAAGATGTTATTTGTTTTAAAGCCACACATGCAGGAAACCAAAGGAAAACAAGGGAACACGGCAATACCAGATGTTCAGTCCCAGAAGGCTGGTTCCAGTTGTCTCCTTCTCCCTTCCTCCCTATCTCTTTCCTCTCCCACTGTCTTACCCAGCAGTCAGACAATAAGCATTTACTAAGTGCCTACTGTGGAGACAGCTAGGTGGTGCAGTGGATAGAGTGCTGGGCCTGGAGTCAGGAAGACTCATCTTTCTGAGTTCAAATCTGGCCTCAAACACTTACTAGATGTGTGACCGTAGGCAAGTCACTTAACCCTGTTTGCCTCAGTTTCCTCACCTGTAAAATGAGCTAGAGAAGCAAACTGCTCCAGTATCTCTGCCAAGAAAACCCTAAATAGTCATGGAGAGTCTGACATGTCTGAAAAACACCTGAACAGCAAGTGCCTACTATGTTCCAGACCCTGTCCTGAGTTCAAAGTAAAGCAAAGGACAGTCCCTGTCCACAAGGAGCTCAGTCAGACAGAGGGAGAAAATATGCAAACAACTATACAGTTGACCTATAGACAGTATAAGTAGGAAATAATCAATAGAAGGAAGGCAGTAAGTTCAAGACTGAGTGAGAGACTTTCTGTAGAAGGTGAGATTTTAGCTGGGACTTGAAAGGCAGGAGGAAGAGCATTCCAGGGCTGGGGGACAGCCAGGGAAAATGCCTCGAGCCAAGAGATGGAGTGTCTAGTTTGAGGAGCAGTTAGGATACCAGTGGGGTCAGTGTGAGGTGTGAGGAGACTGGACAGGGGGTCTCTTTTCTCTTTTTTGCTCTATGTCTTCTACCCCTTTTCTGGCCCTTAGGATCTCTGACACAAGAAGGTCCAGAAGGGTTCTGGTCTAAGTCCCTCCAAACTAGTCACTCGCCCCCCAGCCAAAGACTGGAAAGAGGAGATATTCCCAGAGGTCATGCTTGGGGCCTGAGAAATGATCCTTTTAGTATGCAGGAATAAAGGAGAGAATAAAGCCAAGATTTCTAAAATACAGAGAAGAAAAGCTAAGAGGGCAGGGCAGGCCTAGAGACCATGCCTTTCAAGACTGGGATGGGGAGAATTGAGATGAGGGACCAGTTCTCAAGTACATGAAAGTTTGAACAAGATGGAATCAGATGACCAATTCTATTACCTGTGCCACTTGGAAACTGTCCCTTCCCTTCACTGGGCCTCAGTTTCTTCATCTGTAAAATGAGTTGACCCAAATGATCTCCAAAAGCCCTTCCAACTTGAAATCTTAGGATTTTTGTGATCATATGAGGTGGAAGGGACCCGTGAGGCCCTCCAGTCTGACCTGTCCAAACTGAGGCAGGCCCGAAGACATTGGGACTTCCCAAAGATCACAGATCAGAAGTGGCAGAGATCCAAATTCAGCTTAGCATCCACTCCTCTATATCAAACAGCCCTATGACTTCTGCTCTGCTACTCCCACCCCAGCTCATGACAAGTCCCTCAAGGGGCCCAAGGTCTCCAGAAATGGCTCTAGTTTTAAGTTCTTTTCCAGACAAGAAAAGGGACTGTTGAACCAGCCCCACAGACCTTTGGAGTCAGAGCTGAGACCCTCCACACTTCTACCTGGAGAGTAACACATGTACACACACTAACACTCCCAGAACAACAGACACTGGCATCAGCGGAGGCTCAGATCCCAGGCGGACAGCTACCTCCTCCCTCTTTAATACCTGAAGGAACTTAAGCATTTGAAAAATGACTTTCATTATCTCATTTGAACCTTATGACTCTCAAAGGTGCCTCGCCCAGGGTCACATAGCTCATTAAATGTCCAAGGCACTATTTGAACTGAGGTCTCTGCATCTCACACTTGACTTTAGTCGCTCTTCCATGTCCTCGGGCCAATGAGACCTCCCTCCTCTCCACCAGGAGGTTTCCTAGGACCACCACTCCATTCTCAGAAATCTCAGAAGCAGCCCCCTTCCTCATTCACCTTGTTCATGTTCTGTCCCTCTGGAAGCCTCTGATCTGAGCTAAGAGAGACCCAGGGCAGCGCTTAACAAATGTTTACTGACTGACCGGCTAACTGACTCTGTCTTTGGGAATTCAATTCCCTCTCCTAGCTGCCATCCTGTGCCTACTATTTGTCAGGCCCTGTGCTAGGCTCTGGGGATACAAAAAGAGGCAAAAGGCAGTCGCTGCCCTCAAAAGAGCTTACAGGCTAATGGGGGGAAATATATACAAAGCAAGATATATGAGATAAATAGGAAATAACAGAAGAAAAGCACTGGAATTAAGAAGGGTCGGGAAAGGCTTGCGGTAAAAGATGAAATTTTAGTTGACCCTAAAACAAACCTGCTAAGTCAGCAGGTGGAGTTAAGGAAGGAGAGGAAGGGAGGAGGGAAGGACTTCTGGTCAAATCACAGCATCCCCAGGCCTGCTGCCAGCCAGCTTCCCTTGCCACCAGCCCAGCTGCTCTGTGATCTTGAGGGAACTGAAAGCCATAGTTCTCTGCTCCAGACAAGAGACAAAGGATCCGCCCAGCTCAGCCTGCCCAAGGGAGTGGGGACAAAACCAGAAATCCTAGTCTGGGAACCTTCTGCAAAGTCACTCAGTTGTCAAACATGAAGAAATTGACCCTGGTGGCTGTGGGCGCCGTGGCTGGAGGTGGTGAGTATGACTTAGGCCTTCCCCTCCTTTCTTCTCTTTTCTCCTCTTTTAAAAAAATGTTATTGATTTGTTTTTTGTTTTACGTTACCTGTACCTTCCTGATAACCACCAGCCTCACAGAACTCCAGCTTATAGCAAACAGTTTAACAAGACAAATCCAGTTACCATTTCTGACTCCTCCTCATCCTTCCCCTTCATCTTCTCCTTCAATTTACTAAATTCAGCATTTTAAATAATATTTTCCCCCAATTATATGTTAAAACAACTTTTTAAACAGTTTTTTAGTTTTGTTTAGTTTAGTTTTGAGTTTCAAACTCTGTTCTTCCTTCCTCCCTCCCCTACCCCTTCCCTGAGACATAAACAATCTGATATAGGTTATACTTTGCAATCATGTAAAAACATTTCTGTTTTAATCATTTTGTACAAGAAGACGAAAGAAAGAAAGAGAAGGAAGGAAGGATGCTTCAGTCTGTGTTCAAACAATATCAGTTCTTTCTCTGGAGGCAGATAGCATACTTCAGTTGCAGAATAGCTAAACAAACTGTGGTATATCGTGGTGATAGGATATTATTGTGCTATAAGAAATGACAAGCAGGATGATTTCTGCATTTATTTTTGAGGTCTCTGTTGTGCCAGGTCAGACCTGGCAGAGATAGAGGGCCAGCCTGTGATGCAGTATGACATGGGTCTAGGTCCTGCTTGACACATTTGTAATTATAGGCAGATCACTTAACCTGGACATCGGTGGAAGGTGTATTCCTCATATCAATGAGATCATAAGTCCACAGCATCAGCATCAAGGAAAATGTGCAATAAACCGTACTAGTCCCTGGGTGACACCTCTAAATCTGGTGGATGGTACAGGTCCCTAGGATGTGAAGCACCCAGAAGAAAATAGAATCTTTTACAACCCTGAATTCTTTCAACTTTAGGGAGTAGGGTCAGTTTAGGTCACTATAAGTCTGGAGCACAGTTTAGATCTCTCTAGAAGGTGAAGATCTACAATCCATCCACTAACCAACCAGCCAAGCATTTATTGAGCAACTACTGTGAGCCCGGCCAAGAGAAAAGGGGAGTCAGTCCACTCAAGAGGGTGAAACGGACATGCTGTTTATGGATTCCCTTACCTTTTCTGTCAGGTAAAATAAAACCTATCCTATAGTCAATGATTGCTTGTAGGGGCACCAGTCAAATGCGTATGTTGTCAGGGGAACTTTTGGAGGCTGGGGAGGCGAGAGGGCATGAGTTAGAGAGTAGTGTGAAAAGCCTCCCACCTACAGCCTCATCTTCCTCTTCCCCTCAACTGTTCAATGCTCAGCCCCTGAGCAGACTGAAGGTGCTAGTGGAGGCCAGTCCAGGGTGGGACTGGAAGAAAGCAAGTCAGGTCATGATGGTGGAAGGGCATACGGCAGACGCTGCCTGCTTCTCCACCCGGTCTCTTGTCCCACAGCCATGGCTGCAGCTTCAGTCCCTGTGGTCCTGGGAGTTGTAGGCTTCACTATGGTTGGCATTGCTGCTGGCTCATGGCAGCAAAGATGATGTCAGCAGCTGCTTCTGCCAATGGTGGAGGGATTGCTTCGAACAGCCTGGTAGCTGTGCTTCAGTCTGCAGGTGAATGAGGGGCTTATTGGGGGGGGGCCCTTCCACTTCCTCCAATCCCTGTCCTCAGAAACCTGGCCTTTTCCTGGCTAGCTGTGATACCTTGAGTTGGGGTCAGCAGAAAATCACAGACTCTCATAGTTGCGAAGACCCTCCGAGACCATCCTGTCCAATCGTAGCAGAACAAGAATCCTTCCCATGACAGCCTCCACCTGCCTGGGCCTGAAGACTTCCTATGAGGGAAAATCTATGTGGCATGCAGAGAACCAGGCAAGCACTGCTCTGGGTTCTGCAGGCTCAGCCCTTGGAAGTATCCTTGCGTACAAAACAGTTAGAAATGACAAGTTGCAGATGCCAGAGACTCACAGTCACCTCCTGGCCTCTCTGCCTCCAAGAGAGGATGGTACAAAGACAATATCCCAACCAGATGCACAAGGCCCATCCTTTCCAAAAACTGGGCCTTCTGTCCCCACACAGGGAGAAAGCTCTGAGAAATAAAGACCTGGCTTGACCTCCTATCTCCTTAAGTCTCATGCAGATTGCGGCCACTCCTGTTCAGGGAAAGGGGTGGAAGCAGGGGGAGGGAAGTGGCACGTGCTTAGACAACATTGGCCGACTGGTCTACACATTTCTCTTGTGTCACACTGCCAGCTCCGTGTCAGCCCCAGAGCTGCATGATCCTTCTCAACCCCACTTGGAACCCATCCTTAACTCCCTCTTTCCTCGGAGATAAAATACTAAACATGATACATCAGACTATATTCTAGCCACCTTAGACTATGCGCCCTGATCTTGTCCTGCTTTTTTATAGCTTCTAGATAACCAGACAGATTACCTCCTATGCCTGAGACACACACACACACACACACACACACACACACACACACACACACACCTTCCTCACCCCTACCTGTTGAGATCTTCCTCTTCCTTCAAGGCCCAGCTCAGGTGTTATCTCCTCCATGAAGCCTTCCCTGATATGCCAGCTAACTGGACTTTGTCTCCTTCCCCAAATTTCCATAGGGAACTTTGTCTGCATCTCTGTTTTACACTCAAAGCATTCTCTCTTATGTCTCAGTTAATTGTGTATCTGTCTTGTCCTCCTTATTTGTTTGTTAAGTTCTTTGAGAATAGACACCCTACTCTAATACATCTTCCACATGGATGCTGTGACATTTAAAAAGTTCAAGAGACATAATTTCTGGGTAATTAATAATTTTATTAATAATGCTAGCATAATACCAATAAAACAGGTCAGTGACACACTTGAATGCCAAAGACTATTCATGGTGGTGGGCTCACAGTTTATATGCCCCTGGAAGCATAGGTGTTCCTGAGGGTGGGACACCCCAAACACATGAAGACTTCCCTGGGTGGAATGGGCAGATGAGAACAATTTGTTCCAATAGCCATGTGGGTGGCTGAAGCAGGCGTTATAGAGTGCTTAGAGCTTGGTCAGACGTCGAAGACACCAAGGCCATCACTGCATCCTGGGTAATCGCTAGTTATCTTGACTTTCGTGTTGCCGCTGGACTTTGATGACTCTGGGAGAGAGAGTGAGGTTAGTGACTTTGCACAGTTCTGCCTCACTTAAACCAAGTCACTTGAAAATGATGTCATTGGTTCTCTTCAAGAACAAAGGACCAATAAGAACATGCAACTACTGTGTGTGAGGTACTGTGCTAAGTGCCATGGTTACAACAATAGGCAAAAGACAGTTCCTGCCCTCAAGGAGCTCACAGTCTATCAGAGGAGACAACATATAAGCAAGTATGTACAAACAAGTTATATATAGGATAATGGCTGTTCATCCTTCATTCTTCAAGAGGATGAATGATATCATATGAGAGATGTCTTGACTTGTAAGTGAATTGGATTTAAGTGAGGCAGAGCTATGCAAAGTTGTCAGCCTCACTCTCTCTTCCAGACTCATCAAAGTCCAGTGGCAAGACAAAAGTCAAGATGGCTGGTGATGGCCCAGGATGGTTAGGAAATAATTAACAAAGTGAAGGCACTATAATTAAGAGAGACTGCGAAAGACTTCCTGTAGGAGATGGGATTTTAGTTGGGACTTGAAGGAAGCTAGGGAGGTCAGCAGTCAGAACCCTTGTTCTGGGGAGAATGTTCCAGGCATGAGGTATAGCCAGAGGAAAAACCAAAAATCAGAAGATGGAATGTCTTGTTCTGGGAACAATTGAGAGGTCAGTGACACTGGATCAAGGTGAAAGATGGCACTGTAACTTAAGGATGACCTTCCAGTACCTTTTCCATATCTTCCTTACTATAGGCTGCAGCTGTCTGCCCAAGAATCATCAAACATCTTGGTGGTTCAGGGATCCCTAGTTTTTTTTAATTCTATGTTTCTCCCATTGAACTTTTGCAAATGAGGGTCTAAGAAAGAAGGTACTGAGGTACATGGGTGCAAATCCATTGCCTTGACTGCTTTCTTGGCTCCTCCAAATGGGCTACACAAAGCCTCACATTGTATCTGTCCTTGCCCACCCCAAAATTTGCCAAAGTCTGATCAGAGCACACCTTATAGAAAATGATTTCCAAAAAGTTATAAAATAGGTCCAATTGGAATCATATCAAAGACCAGTTTCTATCTTGTTAAAATTTGTAATTCAACAAATAAATATTTAACAGAATAATAAATCATGTATCTTAAATAGTTATTGTTATAGATTGGTTCTTCCTACCTCACCCAGGCTGGAAGTGCAGCACTACTCATCACCATGGAAACTTTGACCCACTCAATTTCCAAACTAGGCCTGTTGGTCCCACTTTAGGCAGTTTGGTGCCCCCTCCCTCCCAGGGGCTTACCATATTGGTGCCAGATTTAGTGCAGACAATCCCTCAGTTTTGGTCCACTTCACTTCAGAACACCAGAGCTTGTGATTCACTAGCCACAGCTTTCCCAGTAGCAAAGATTACTGCCACTACATCCAACTCTAATTAATTTTAAAAGGTAATCTCACTTTCATGCAAAAAATAAAATAGCTTTTGGTTTCCTGTTTGGAGAAAAATCTGTCTATGGACTGATGCACAAATATTACTTATTTATGTCTTCCCACCTCTATCCCACCAAGCATGAGCCATTCAGTCAATGAACAAGCATTTGTTATGTACTTACTGCGTACTGGGCCCTCTGTGAAGTACTGGGAATATAGGGCTTAAACAGTCAATGCCTTCAAGGAGCTCGCATTCTAATGGGTAGACAGTATGTAGGTACATAGAAGATATATATGTGGTAGATGGAAGATAAGTGGAAAAGGGAAGGTGCTAATGACTGGTGAGTTTTGGAAAAAGCTTCTTACAGAAGGTGGGATTTAAACTGAGTCTTGAAGAGAAGCCAGGGAAACCAAGAGGCTTTGGTTTCTAACCATAGGTGTCCCTCAGGATTCTGTCCCAGGCCCTTTCTCATCTCTTCTCTCTCTACACTACTTCACTTTATAAGCTCAACAGCTCCCAAGAATTCAGTTACCATCTTTATGCTAATGATTCTCAAATTGTCTTATCCTGCCCTAAGCTCTCTGCTGCCCCCCAATATCACATCTCCAAATGCCTTTCAGACATCTCGAAACTGGATGTCCCGGAGACATGAACTCAATATGAACGTATTATCTGAACTCATTATCTTTTCCTCTAAACTCTCCCCTTCTGCAAACTTCCCTATTCTGTTGAGGGTACCACCATCCTCATAGTTCCCCAGACTCACAACCTATAAGTTATACTGGATTCCTCACTTTGCCCCTATGTCCAAGCTGTTGCCAAGGCCTGACGATTTCACCTTTGCAACATCTCCCAAATACACCCTCTTTCCTCTGACACTGCCACCACTCTGGTACAAGCCCTCATGACCTCACACCTCCATTACTGCACTAACCCGCTGGTGGGCTGCCTGCCTCTAGTCTCTCCCCATTCCAATCCATCCTCCATTCAGCCACCAAAATGATTTTCTTGAAGTCACTCCACTATTTAACAAACTCCCTATTGCCTCCAGGATCAAATACAGGTGCTAAGTATCTGTGTGAATGAATGAATGAATGGCTTCTGTATATGCAGGAGTAGAAAAAAGTATATCTAGTACCCTGGGGTCTCCCTCAACCAACTACCCCAGGTTTGAGGCATATTTCTGTTTAGCAACCATGCTAAAACCATAGCTCATTAGCCCCCACTAATATGTTTCTTTTACCAGGCCAACCAGAGGACATATTATTTTAAAGAAAAAGACATTTGATTCAACAACACAGAAAAGTAAATGATGAGAAAGACCTCCTCTCCCCACATAAACACAGAGATACACTCTCCCACAGGTTACCATACCACCAGTGGAAAAGGGGACACACACACAAGGGATATATGTTGCCAGGGCAACTCATGCTTCTAGGGTGAGTGGTATTATAGCTAGAATACTTCTGCAGCTTTGACATTGCTGCTTGCTTCCCCTCAGAGCTTCAGATGTCCTATGTATGTGTGCATGTGTGTGTATATACACATATATGCATATATACACATATACATATGTGTATGTATACACACATATATATATACATGTATATACATATGTATAGCTATTTATAGATGTATGTGTGGAACTGCTGCTATTTTGTGGCTTTTTCCTATTCCCTTTAGGGAGGGTTTTCAAACTCTTTTTTTTAGCACATAGCCTTGGGGGTTAGCTAGCATTTTTGTAATTTAAATCCAAAAGCAACAACCAGTCAACAGAAATACTCAATCTTAGATTAAATCTATCTTTTTGGAAATCCTTTTCCTCTGCTACCACTTGGAGTCCCTCAGAAAAAAAAAGTTTTTTTTTACTTAATAGTATTCTATTTTTTCCAATTACATGTAAAGATAGTTTTCAATATTCATTTTTGTAAGATCTTGAGTTCCAAATTTTTCTCTCTCCCTTTTTTCCCTCCCTGCTCCCCAAGATAGCAAGTAATCTAATAGGTTATACATGTGCAATCATGTTAAATACATTTCTACATTAGTCATGTTGTGAAAGAAGAATCAGAACAAAAGGGAAAAACCTTGAGAAAGAAAAAACAAAAAAAAAAGATAAAATAGTTATGTTTGGATCAGCATTCAGACTCCATAGTTCTTTCTCTTGATGTGGGTAGCATCTTCCATTATGAGTCCTTTGGAATTGTCTTGGATCATTGTATTTCTGAGAAGAGCTAAGCCTATCACTGTTAGTCATCACACAATGTTGCTGTTACTGTGTACAGTGTTCTCCTGGTTCTGCTCACCTCACTCAGCATCAGATCATATAAGTCTTTCCAGGTTTTTCTGAAGTCTGCCTGCTCATCAATTCTTATAGCACAATAGTATTCCATTACATTCATATTTCACAGCTTGTTCAGCCATTTTCCAATTGATTGGTATCCCCTCAATTTCCAGTTCTTTGCCACCACATCTTTTTGTGGTGGCTGCTATAAATATTTTGGTACATGTTGGTCCTTTCCCCTTTTTTATGATCTCTTTGGGATACAGACCTAGTAGTGGTATTACTGGATCAAAGGGTATGCAGAGTGTGATAGCCTTTTGTGCATAGTTGCAAATTGCTCTCCAGAATGGTTGGACCAGTTCATGACTCTACCACCAATGCACTAGTGTTCCAATTTTCCCACATCTTAGTCTAAACTTTCAAGGTACATATAATGCCATTCCCCCCAGACTGCTAGCCTGGATCCCTGCAAGTCATCCAGGAATTCTACTTAGCAAAATTATAAAGCAGCTGGGTAAAGATGATAGGAAGAGCTGCCTTGCATCTTGTGACTCTTACCCTACTTCTGAGTTCATGCAAATCTCGTTGAGGGCAAGACTTAAAGGAGCTAGGTGTAGTTGGTGACCTTTGACCCACTTATTCCCAACAATTAACTCAATGCACTCTTTATAATACGTTACTGATGGTTATGCATCTTGGAAAGAGAAATCCTATTTGCTTCTCCAGTGTCACAATGGTTTTGGTGGAGGAAGGAATAGAGAGGGACAAACTCCCTGATCATTAATTAATCAGCTACCTAAATTAAGACTGACTGAAGAATCCTACAATGGGCATTGTTTGCCTCAGAATCCCTAGAATCCCTGCTCTTTTGTTAAGAAGCTCAGATTTCTCCTAGATCTCTTCAATTTAAACTTTTTTCTTTTTTGTCCTTCAGGGAAACCTAGCCCTCTCCAGAACATACCTGATTGCTGGCCACCCTTTCTGGTTTGTGTTATTTCTTGTCTCATTTGCCATGACACTCTGGAGCCAGGAGTTGTTCGTAGAATTGTAGATTTAGAAATGGAAGGGACCTTATAGGTCATATAGTCCAACCACATAATTTTACATGTAAAAATGTTTTATAGTAGCTGTTTTTACTATGCCTTCTTAGTAAATGCCTTTGCTGATAGGTATATGTGTCTACTGGCTGGTTGTTAATGGAAAGCAAACTAATGGGGGCTCATGAGCTTACAAGTAGCCATTCACAGGATATTCCTTAGAATTACAAGTAGCAGATAACTTCTGGGGACCCAGCCCATGAGTGTGAGGGCAAACTGCTGAAGCAACAAGGCAGTCTGGGGGAGAGACAGAAGCAGTTTGTGCCAGGCAAGTCAAACCATGACTAGTAGCACCTCAACCACCACCTCCCTTAGACTTCAAAGGAGGTAGTCTAAGTCTTGAACCCAAGAACTACACTCCCCACTCCCCAACCTAAGAACCAAGCCTGCTTCCAGAGGCCCAGCCTTTATACCTATCATCTCAGGAAATCTGTTCATGTAAAGAAAGGGCCAGACATCACCACCAAATGATAACCAACTGCCATCTACAGGGCAGGCAAGCCAGCCTAGGTGATGCAGCAAGGCACCCTTCTGGGAGAGACGGCTGGCGGCTTGTGCCATCACCACTTCAACCATCACATCCCCTCATACCCAGATAAAGATAGCCCAGGACTTCAAACTCAGGAGCCTTGGGGATAGCAGTACCCCAAGACCACTAGTCCTGCATGGACCCCACAGTCATCAAAGAGGGAAGAGATCATTGTAGAGAACCTTCTGGCAATCCTGGGTTAAGGGCTATTGCATTAGTTGAAAGAGCATCGTAATACTCTAGCTGAAAGATTTCACCATTTCATACACTCCAGCCAGTGGACAAAGGTGGTAAAAGACTGCAGTCTAGAGTGAAGCCAGGGAGTCCAGAAGACCAGTTCATCAGAATAGAAGGGCCCAGTGGCCAAGCAGTCTACCTAGTTAAGTGTTGGCAACAACCCAAGGGGAGAGCATCCTGTAAGGCCCAGTCCAACTATAGATGGCCAGCAGTGCAATGACCCATCAGCCCAGTCACCCAAAAAGTACCTGCCCCTAGAACCTTGAAACTTGTGATGGTAATCATGCCTCTGAAAATGCCAGTGAAATGTGGGGGATGTGAGCCCAAAGGAGATCGACACAAATGAACAAACAAGTGAATGTTCATCCCCAGAGGACAAAGTTAAGTTTTATTTTGCTCTTTTGTTATTTAATCTTTTCTATGTCTCATTTGAAGGAAAAACCCAGAAATGGCTCCAGTTGCTGAACCTACTCCTCCCAGGATAATATTCACCCCAGCCAAGAGTCCAGATACAACTGGAAGATGGAAGAAGAGAGACAAGATGAGATGGGAGAGGGACTAGACTTTGGGACCATAGGCAGGTCATGTCCCCTAAGTGGGCTCCAGGTTCCCCACTAGCATCAGGAGAGACATGGTCTGCAAGGACCCTTCTGGCTCTCAAGTTTGTTGACATCCAAAATAAATAGCCAAATACTGGGAAGTCCACAAAGAAGGAGGAATTGGGGAAGCGGGTCTGCACAGCTCTTGAGGGGAGTGGAGAGGTAAATAGCAACCTTTTGGGAAGCTCTCTAGCCTGGCTTTTATCCTTCCCTTTCCCCTCTGCTGAGGTCAGGTTTCTGACAACCTGTTCTGTGTACTGACATAACTAGCGAGAGAGACCCATGCCTATGCTTATGTGCACAGACTCAGGCCTCACTCATCCAGAGACAGTGGCACAGCCACCAAGCTATCTGAAGCAACCCCTCTGCCATGGGCAACAGCTGCTGTGCCGACATCCTTGCTGTCAGGGAGTCAGTAGCAATGCCAACCTCGGTGAAGTCCATGGCTCACAGAACTACAGGGACTGAAGTTATAGCCATGCCTGAAGGGATGAGAGATTCCAAATAAGGGTCAGTCTTGCCTCCAAGCCTTTCCTGGGTCTGAGAAGGGAGAGGGTTCTTTTTTTATTAATTTATTTCAATTTATCAACAATCACTTCCATAAGCTTTTGAGTTTTAAATTTTTCTCCCCCTCCTTTCCCACCTCCCTCCCCAAGATGGTGCACAATCTGATATAGGCTCTACATATACATTCCTATTAAACATATTTCACATTAGTCATGTTGTAAGGAAGAATTAGAACCAATAGGAGGAACCACCAGAAAGAAAAAACAAAAGAAAAGAAAAGAAAAAAAGAGCAAATAGTATGCTTGGATCTGCATTCAAACTCCACAGTTCTTTCTCTGGATATTGATAGCATTTTCCATCATGAGACTTTTGGAGATGTCTTAGATCCTTGCATTGCTGAGAAGGACTAAGTCTATCAATGTTAGTCATTGCACATCGTGGCTGTTATTGTGTACAACGTTTTCCTGGTTCTGCTCACTTCACTCAGCATCAGACCATACAAGTCTTTCTAGGTTTTTCTGAAGTCCACCTGTCATCATTTCTTATAGCACAATAGTATTCCATTACATTCATATACCACAGCTTGTTCAGCCATTTTCCAATTGATTGGTAACCCCTCAATTTCCAGTTCTTGGCCACCTGCTATAAACATTTTTGTACATGTGGGTCCTTTTCCCGTTTGTGTGATCTCTCTGGGATACAGCCCTAGAAGTGCTATTGCTGGGTCAAAGGATATGTGTATTTTTATAGCCTTTTGGGCGTAGTTCCAAATTGCTCTCCAGAATGGTTGGATCAGTTCACAACTCACCAACAATGCATTAGTGTTCCAATTTTCCCACTATCTTCTTCAACATTTATCATTTTCCTGTTTTGTCATGTTGGCTAATCTGATAGGTATGATGTGGTACCTCAGAGTTGTTTTGATTTGCATTTCTCTAATCAACAGTGATTTAGAGCCTTTTTTCATATGACTATAGATGGCTTTAATTTCTTCATCTGAGAACTGCCTGTTCATATCCTTTGACCTTTTATCAATTGGGGAATGACTTGTATTCTCATAAATTTGACTTAATTCTCTAAATATTTTAGAAATGAGGTCCTTATCAGAGACAGTGATTGTAAAAATTCTTTCCCAATTTTCTACTTTCCTTCTAATCTTGGTTGCATTAGCTTTGTTTGTGCAAAATTTTTTCAATTAATGTAATCAAAATTATCTATTTTGTATTTTGTAATGTTCTCTCTCTCCTGTTTGGTCATGAATTCTGCTCTCCATAAATCTGATGCCTAAACTATTCCTTGCTCAAGGGAAAGGGTTCTTATGGAGAAAATATCCATGCAAGAAAGGGGGACAAGTAGATGGGCTCCTTATAAATGACTGACCTCCACCAATAAGAACTCACAGAATAACTGCAGTAGGACACACCACTTCTGGGGAAACACACAGGGAAGAGCCTGAGTAGGTAAGGAAGAATGGCTGTCGCTTGGCCCTGCAGAAATATCCCCAAACTCCATGATCTTGCTGCCAAGCTCTGCCTTCTTCCCCAGAGAAGCCATACCTGAGTGAGAAGTGCCCATGAAGGGGGACTATTGAGGAAAAAGAGTCCCAGAAGCTTCGACCTCTGCATCAGCTGAAAGAACCGCCAGGGATCACTGGGCAGCACCGGGACCCACTCATTACAAGAAGATGCTACCGTGGAAGGCCGCTACCTCATTCTCCCCAAAAGCCTTCCCAGCCCCTGGGAGGCCTGCAGAGACCTGGCCTGAAAACCCAAGAAGAGCCCCCAGAGCATCCTGAGGGCTGAACCTGGAAGTCAGGAATACTTGACCTGGGATCCTGGTCTGCATCTGACACTTTCTAGCTGGGTGGTCCATGACTAGGCAGGTCACTCAACCTCTGGGTTCCTGGGCCAATCCCTAAGACTATGTATAGTTCAGAGTCATTCCCTTATCCCATGGCTTTGGTAGAGGGAGTTTCCTCTACCAGCTCTCTACCCTGATGAAACCCCAGGTCTGGTCCAAATGATCACAATCATCATCACAATGATAAAGAGAACAATTCTAAAACCTTTTGGGATAATCATTATCATTGATATTGATATTGATTGATTGATTGATAATCCTCCTTCGGCCTCTTACCTGGTAGTAGAGAGTTGGGAGGCAGCCCCTTTCAGAGAACAGACACTTCCGAGTCATCCTGAGCAGCTCTGCCCAATGATGCCCAGGCCAGCAGAGTGGAGGAACTGGAGTCTCAGCCAAGCAACCAGTCCCACCTATGGGTTGGTACAATCTTCCCCGGCAGCCAATCAGAAAGATGAGAAGTGCCGTAAGAACCTAGCCGCCTCTTCCCCTCCCTCTCTCATGTCTGAAGAGCCTGGTCCTGGGAGCAGACTTATAGTGACTCAGACCAGGCAGGGCCACTAGAGTGCCCCTCCTAGTCCCACCCACACCTGAAAGGACCTCTCCTCCACAAGCCACCGGACAAGTCTTCCTTCATCCAGCTTTTAGATGCTCCAAACCTTTCTGTCAGGGGGGACCCACTCTGCCGAGGCAGCCCAGGGGCTTTTGGAGAGCTTTCATTCTAGGGAAGCTTTCTTCCTTCCTGTTTGTAACTCGTAGTCCCTTCTTTCCATCTTGGGTATCAACTCAAGTCGACTTGCATTTCTTTTTTTAAAAAAATTATTTATTTTTAGTTTTCAACATTCACTTCCACAAGATTTTGAGTTCCAAATTTTCACCCCATCTCACCCCTCCCCCACCCCAAGATGGCATGCATTCTGAATATCCCTCCCCTAGTCTGCCTTCCTGTCTATCTCTCCCCCACTTCTCTTATCCCCTTCCCCTTTTATTTTCCTGTAGGGCAGGATAGATTTCTGTACCCCATTTCCTATATTTTTTATTTCCCAGTTACATGTGAAAACAATTTTTTAAACATGTGTTTTTAAAACTTTGGGTTCCAAATTGTTTCCCTTCCTCTCTCCCCACCCACCCTCATTGAAAAGGCAAGCAACTCAATACAGGTTATACATGTGTAGTTATGCAAAACACTTCCATAGTTTGACTTGCATTTCTTAAGTGCCTGCAACATGCCAATCATTGTGTTAAAGTGCTGGGGATGCAACCAAAAGCAAAAGACCGTCCCTGCTCTCAAAGAGCTCACAGTCTATCAGAGAAAACTACATAGGAAGAACTTCATACAAAGATAGATAGATATACACACATTCATATACATTATACTATATATGTGTATTCCTATATGTTATGTGTGTATATAATATAAATATAATAAATGGGGCAAGCAGATTCAGTCTAACCCTCTTCTTTCTCTATGACAGCCCTTGACAGGCTCCCAAGTACTTTGATTGAGGTCTGGAATTCCTTACATCCCACTTAGTCCTGCCCTCTCATTTTTTTCAAAAACAATTTTTTTTATTGATTTCTTTGCATTTTTTATCACTTACTTTTCTCAATATATTCCTCATGCCTTTTCTCCTAGGAGCCATTTCTTATAATAAATAGTAAGAAAGAATTAAAAATTATTCCATTAAAGTGATTAGTACTTTCAAAATCTGTCATATATACCATTCCACATCCACAGTCCCCTTCCTCTCCAAATGAGAGCATCTCCTCTTTTTATAGAAGAGGAACCAAGTCCCAGAGAGGTTCAGTGAGCTGCCCTGACCTCACCATAACAACTTGTAGCAGAGTTAGGGTTCTAAGCTGGGTTATCTGATCCTAAATCCTCCATTATTTTCATTGTACCATATTGCCTTGAAGTCACTGAAGACAGTACTTCTCTCCCTCAACTCCCAAGCCCTTTCTTCTCCCTGCTAAAGTTCTCCACAGTTCCTCCATCATCTTCTCATATAGCACAATCCTAAGACCCTTTACCACTCCAGTTGCCCTTCTCTGAAGTTCTCCAGCTTACCAATCTTCTTCCAAATTGCAACCCTTACAACATGACTCATATGGAAATGTGTTTTGCATGACTACACATGTATAACTTATCAAATTGCTTGCCTTTTCGATGAGATGGCTGAGGAGTGAGAGAATTTGGAACTCATTTTTTTAAAAGAATGTTGAAAATTGTTTTTTACATGTAATAGGTGGAAAATAAAATAGTAAATAAATTTTTAAAATAAAAAAAAATTATAACCCCCATGATGCTCATCATTTGGGAAACAGCTGAAGAAGTTGTGGTATGTGATTGTGATGGCATACTATTGTGCTATGAGAAGTGACAAACAGGGTTCTTTCAGAAAAACCTGGGAAGACTTGTATGATCTGATGCAAAGTGAAGTGAACAGAACCAGGAGAACATTGTACACAGTAACATCAATATTGCAACAATGATCAACTGGGAAAGATTTAGCTACTTTGATCAAGACAGCGATTGAAGATAATTCAAAAGGGCTGATGATGAAAAATGTTCTCTATCTCTAGAGTGAGAATTTATAAACTCTGATTCCAAATAGAAGGTTACTTTTTTCACTTTCTTTTTTTAAAATTGTGTGTGTGTGTTTTCTTTTGCAGCATGAGTAATATGGAAATTTGTTTTGCATGATTTCACATATATAATTGATATCATCAAGAGGTAGGGGAGGGACAGGAGGGAAGGAAAGAATTTGGAACTCAAAATTATAAAAATGAATATTATGTTAATATGCAATTGGGAAATATTTAACAAAATAAATAAAAAATATATTTTTAAATGTAGCCCTCAGAGCTCAACA